CCACACCCACACCCACACCCACACCCACACCCACACCCACACCCACACCCACACCCACACCCACACCCACACCCACACCCACACCCACACCCACACACACACACACACCCACACCCACACCCATATTCACATTCACACCCACACCAGAGCTGGGTAAGTACGAGTATGTACTCGTACTCGAGTACGTTTTTTGTGGTACTCGTACTCGTAATCGTACTCGAAGGGTGGGTACTCGTACTCGTACTCATACTCGAGGGTTTAGTACTTGAAATCCTAAACAACTATGTACTATATCAAAATGATGCTTGAGAATATTTCAGTATACGTTTTTCGACGATGTAATGAACAGTTGATTTCTTCTTTTTTTATACATATATGTATGCCGATAAATACATAGACGCCAGATCATGGCATAGCAACCGGAGTACTCTTTTCTTTATTCTCTGTCACTAGTCATATAGAATGTAATTGGTAACTGATTTGTTCCTGTATTGCATATAGTTGTTCTTTCATTTCGTCTACGTGACTCATGCTCACTGAATAAAATAAATTCGCTGCTGTGAAATTACGGTTCAGTTAACATGTGGGTGCCAGTGAAAACAAGATCCACACTCACACAAACACGCACACTTGTACCCACACCCTAAAAATCCCTAATAAGAAAAATTTGATTCATGACTGATCACTTTTTGATTGTGAAATTGATGTGTGATTTCTAAATCTACTAATTAAATTTTCTGTAGTGATGTCTTAGGAAACTCTTTCGTACTCGTACTCGTACTCGAGAAAGTCCGTACTTGCCCAGCTCTGACCCACACCCATACCAACCCCACTCGCACCCCACACACACCCACACCCTTATCATTTTCTATCGTTGAATGATGCTAACAGCTTCACATCATATATAAATGAGCATCGATCAATTTGATCCATTTGAACTATTTCGTGTTACCAATTTCTTTTTTCTTTCTTTGTTGTCATTGTTTGTCTTTTCTCGGTGTTGTGTACTTTACTATTGCCATGAGTAGTACATCTCAAGAAAGCGCTTGATTGAAAGAAAATTAAAAAAAGACGAAAAATAAGTAAAGCCTTGTTATGGTGTACAAGTAGCATAAGTGTCCTTCGATAAAGAAACAAACGACGCGCACCACATATATAGAATTCAATCCACTTGAAAATTGCTGATTTCGAAATTTCGAAACCAATTTTTTTTTATTTTCTTTATTGCATATTGGTGAGTAACTTATAACCGTGTCTTCTAAACAGATCTTGGAGTTTTTTAAACGTCATATTTATAACGATTGTAAGACTAGAATATTAATTACAACGAATTGAGACAAAAATTAATTGACGTTCATCACAGATTCCGTTTATTTGATCAACTGATGATTTCTTGTTAGTCAAAGGTCTATCAAGCGTGTATACCAGTATACGTTGCAGTTTCATTGATTAAATAGTTTTTTTTTAGAATATTGTCTACATTTTAAGTGATTAACTTTCTACTCTTCTGTCTTGTTCTATTAATGATCCTTTCGCAACTTTTCATATTGAGATGAAACTATCAAAAAATTGTTATTGGTAATTTCATAAAATAGGGACTACAGCCAATGTTTTCATGTTTCAAAAGTTTGCCTATGAAGTACAATAAATGGATCATTAACACCGAATGAAAACTTTGGTTAAGGGTGTTGCTGTGAATACGACAGAAAAACAAACCTCACTCGCCGACGCATGCCGACATCCATCCTCACAATATGTGAAATAAAACTCTTATTGAGTGTGGAAGTGGCTGCGGTTGTGGGATGTAGGTGTTAGTGTTGATGTGGGTGTGGATGTGGATAGATATGGGTTTGGATGAGATGAACATTAACAGTCACATCCCACACCCACGGCCATATCAACACCCAAACCCAAAGCCAGAGCCACCCACACCATTCACACTCACATCACCACCACACACCTGCATGCATACCCACAAACCCACACCCACACCTACACCACACACTCACGCACACCTACACCCACACTCAAAATATAAATATGACAATGGGATGATAAAATTTTCGAAATCGACCAATATGATGCAAAATATACCACGTAACTATCTTGGCGTAGATAAATGATACAAATTTCGAATTTTTATTTAAATAATGCACCGCGAAAAACTTTACAAATATGTCGGAATAAACACTTGTAGACTTGATCTTATAGCATAGCATAGTTCATGCTAACAATCAACAAGCTTCATGATGGCGTTAGAGAGTAGAATAAAAAATATTTTTAAGTTTTTTTTTACTTTGCATATATTTCAGTTTGAGAAAAAAAATAAGACCTTGATTTTTATTTTAAAAGATGTATCACAGATACCTCTACAAAATCTGTGCAAACAGATCTCAGCTGTAAAACAAGCAAGTCTTCGAAATATTTTTTTTTTATTATACTCAATACGACGAAAAGTAGCATCTTCATCAATGATTGTTCATTTTGAGAATGAACTATGTCATCGGAACAAGTCAATATGTATTTGTTCAGACATTTTTTGTAGAGCTTTTCACATCGCATCTTTTAAAAACAAATTCAAGATTTTCTCATTCATCTATTCTGAGATATGCATGAAATAAAAAAATGTTGCAAACACTTTGATACACTCTATATCCTATTTTGTCGATCTCAAAAAGTTTCTAATCTCATTCTCAAGTTTATATTTTTGTTATTATAAGAGAAAATGTTATTCAATTATATATCATTTGAAAGGCCGTCACGAATGCTCGAAGCTGATATTATAACATAATTATTAGACAATGTTCTATCTGTCCTTATAAACGAATTTTGTCGCGCTTGAAAACTTATGAAACACCCTGTACGTAAATATTCATTAAATAACTTTTGACGAAAACCCACAAATTTCATATAAACGTTGTTTTCTTACTGTTCGGATTATGTTCCCAACATTGGTTTGAATACAAAAAGAAAAATGATATAATAAAAACACTATTCTAATAAACAATATTTTCATTAATTAACTTCAACTATCAAAAGCCTTTCTATCTAGTAAAAAGTCTCCCATCGAATATCTCCGTAACATCTTCTTATTCGTAACACTCCAATCAAATATTCGTCCATACGTCGATAAACATTCATTAAATCACACCGATAAGTGACAGATCAAAAACAAATAATCTCATATACGATTTTTTTAGGTTCAACTCAAGCATCAAATGAATAGTAAGTGATATTTATTAATATCAATAATCTTGTGAATAATTTTTTCTATTTTAGCATCAAATGAGGCGTCTTTTCGGATAGATTTATGTTTGGTTCCTGTTTTACACGAGCTTTACTTGGTGTATTATGATTTTGCTTCATAAGAGTGGTAAGAATTAAGAAAAGTGCTGAAACTCTTTTGGAGATGAGTCATCAGCACCAGTGGGACTTCAATACGTACGATTATCCAGGTTGTATTGCATAACACTTTGTGAAAGACGTGTTTGTGGACTACAGAGCCGCTTGCGATGAATTCGCTGCAGTCTTTCGAGAAATCACGCAGGCTTAATACGCTTTTCCGCAGACAAAACCATTTTCAATGAGGCTTTCGAAAAGATTTTTCAGGTTCACTACAGAACTTTTTTCATGCAGAACCATTTGTGAGGGTTCTGCGTTATACCAGATTGCAGAACCCCTAAAAAGGTTCTGTGGTACTCCTTTTTCTTCAGAGCAGTCAGCAGTAGTCTTATGGTTTGCATTTTGCATGGATATACTATGGGAATATGCAGTTGTAGAATTGGTAGATTGTGAGATTATCTCTGTGGTTCGTGGATTGTATCGAGATCGTACAGGGTATCAACTAAAATCGCAAAGATAAGGTAGTTGCGAAATTTGACTTCTTTAGAAAATATTGATTATAGGTGAATGCAGAACTCGCGACTCTGTTTCGACTGGAGGTAAATGCAACTCGTGTTAGCTGGCTCTCTGTGTTGTTGATCATGCGAGAATGCTATGTATTTTGCATACGTGTAATTCGTCAACATTTACGGTTTTTTGCCTTAAAATTCGATACAAAATAGTGATACTGTGTGAGACTAGTCACAATTGACGGATACCGTGACTTGCAATATTATCCGATGAGCGTAAATAGTTGCTGTATTATTAAGGTGGCTGTTAACGACGATTTTTACGGTCATGGTAAACGATTACTGTAATTAATCGTAAAGGAGCGCTTACAATTGTTGTAAACCGCTAGCGCATACGGTTTGCGTATACGGTACCTTACAATATTTTATACTATTATCGTATACAGTCGCCGTTTTGCTACGCCAGCCGTGAGCGGCAAATTTTTACGGTCATCGTATGCAATGGTCGTATTATGCCGTAAACCATCGTTTACCGTGGTGGGGAACGCATACCGCAAACAGCTGACGTATACAATGCGTTACGATGGTTTCCGTACAGAGTATACGGTTACCGTATTGTTACGCTAGCCGTTAACGAGTACCATTTACAGTCATTGTTTACGATGTCTGTGTACGGCTAACGCAGACGGCTGTCGTTTTTCGCAGTAATTGGTTGGTGTACGATCGTATATTACCGAGCATGATTGACCTGAGGAAGTGAGCAACATTTCTTTGGTTTACATGGTTGGCTCATTTCATATGACCCTTACGCAGTATAGTTTTGAGTAATGGTAGCAAGAAAGAAAAACAAAACCTTCATTTTGCTTATAAATAAATAGCATCTCATTTATTTAAGATGAAATTTTGATACTTCACATCAATTATCTTTCATTATTATCAAATCTTATGTTAAAAGAATATTAAAATGGTTTTTGAAAATTTAGTCGCTTATTTACTTGATAAATGGTTGAGCGATTATATCGAAAATTTAGATACAAAAAAGCTCAAAGTTGATTTATGGAGTGGTAAGCATTAGTTACAACCTTTGCTTGCTTTTAAGTAGTTAATTATTATTAGGCAATGTGGTTTTGGAAAATCTTTATGTAAAACCAAATGCATTAGTATGTTTATCTTTGACTATAAAAATAAGAAAATGAATTTAATTTTATCGTTTTAGGCTGATTTAAATTTACCTGTAACGATATCTTTGGGTTATCTTGGTAATTTGAATAAAATTCATTTTTTTATGTCAAAATTTTTTTTTTATTCTTATTAATATTTATAGAAAAACTAACACTTCAAGTTCCGTGGAAAAATATATATACACAATCAACAAAAGCGTCAATTGATGGACTTTTTTTATTAGTTGTACCGAAAACTGGTTCGTTATTTACATAGTATTTAAACTAAATTTAATTCTTTCGTGTTTTGTTCAAATAATAATAGATGTTGAATATGATGCTAAACGTGATGAAAAAGAACAGCATGATGCAAAAATGAAAGAAGTTCATCAGATTGAAGAACTTCGTAAAGAACAAGAAGCTCAAAGTAAAAATTTTAAAAAAAAATTTATTTTTATTATTTTTGAATTTATTTCCATTAAACAAAGAAAATGCTAAATCATCTGATAAAAATAATGATACATTTATGGAACGCATGAAATTACAAGTTATACGAAATTTACAATTATCTATTCGAAATATACATATTGTCTATGAAGATAAATCAACAAAACCTGATCGTCCATTTGCTTTTGGATTTACACTTAATTATATCACATTACATGTAGAATTGTCAAATAGTGTAAAATCGATTGAAAATTTTTTACTTTTCTTTTAGACTACAACTCCAACTTGGCAATCAACGATACTTAAAGAAGATACACCATTAATTCATAAAGTAAAAGATTTGTTTTATATGCTTATATTTTTATTTTCATATTCTTCGAATAATATTCTATATAAAAGAATATTGATTGACAAGTCTTTTTATTAATAATCCTACAGTTGCTGATGCATATATACATCAAAAGCTTTATCTTTGTATGAACTAAGAAAGTTATTTATAGTACAGGTTGTTTTGAAATACATTTACACAAGAACAAGTGATAGATATCGTATGATTTTGAGCTCATCATTTTACAGGGATAAATCTTTGTATCATTCAATAAAAGATACATCAATCTTCTGCAAAATTGTCTCTTGCCTCTCTTATGTTGGCGGCTACCAAAGAGTTAATGTAGAATCAGATATTGATTAAAGAATTCAATAGATTTTAAGCAGATATATATGCTACAGATGAAATTGGATACATTTTTTAAAATTCAAACTTAATCGATCTCATCTTTCTTATATAACTCGATATGATTAGTATTAAAATACAAATTATGCTATGAAAATTTTTTTTTTCTAGCTTGGTGATTTAAGTGCTTTAGCAATTTATTGGAATACCAATGCTCACTCACGATCTGAATTATCAAGAGATGAAGCTCTTGTATGTCAAACGTCTTTCTCTTTTGGTTTTTGGTCCAAATTTTATTATTATTTTCTTTGAATCTAGAAAAATCTAAGACAATGAATAGCAGTTAATAATCAAGAGGCACCAACTGATATAGAATATAGTAAATTATTCATTTAGTTAATTTTTAATTTTTGATATTATTTAAAGTAATTAATATTCAGTTCTTCGACCACTAAATATCAAAGCAAGAATTATATTAGCGATGAAACCACGTCAAGAAGAATTTAAACGACCAATGTTTGATATTAAAGTTGATTTAGATGAAATTAGTTTAAATATTAATCGTGATCAAGTAAACACCAATAGAAAAAGAAAATTTTTTTCAATTTTTATCGTTTATTTTTTTCTTTTTCAAGTATTCAGATTTACTTGATTTACTTGAATTTCAAGATTATCTCAGTGTTCAATCAAAATATATCAAATATCGTATTAGCAATGGTATAATAGAAAAACCAACTGTTAAGAGGTAATCTATCTTTTCAAATAGTATTTAAAAAGAGAAATATTAATTTTTTTGTCTCTTTGTTCTTCAATTTGTTTAAGATGGAAATTTGCATATGAAGCAATTGTTAATGAAGGAGTTCGACCAAGATTTGAATGTTACAAATGGAAAAATATCAAGCTACATTTAGATCGATGTAGAGAATATCGTTCACTTCATTTTCAAGAATTACTTGGAAAGGCAACAGTTGAACAAAAACAACGAGCAGAAGTAAAATATAATACAAATTATAGAAATAATTCGAAATCAAGATTTATGTATTCTATAATAGGAATTAGAAGAAAAACTTGATGTTTTCAATTTAACATATATTCGTCGTTGTGCTGAAATTGAAGCAAAGAAAAGAAAAGATCTAGAACCAAAAACGTGGTGGGGAAGTGTATCGAACTGGAGGGGTGGAAGTAAACCAGCAGATAATCCAGGTTTGATTTTAATCATTTTATTAATTTTATTTTTGCAGATGAATTTTTTTTTGTTTTTAGAACTTGATTTCGAAAAAGTCATGACACCAGAGGAAAAAAAGAAATTATATTATGCAATTGGTTATGAAGGAGAAGATACTTCAACATCAACTTATCCAGAAGGAGTGAATTCCTATTGTTTATAACAAATGATTATAATATGTTTTTGATTTATTCTTTTTAGTATATCGATATAGATTTAGCTATTCAATTGAAGTTGCTAGATGTTAATATTTGGTCGAAATTTAATGAAAATGACGCTCAGTAAGTAAATACGAATTTTTCGATACATTTTATGATTATTATTTTTATTCTAGATTTCGAGTTATTGCTCGAGCACTCATACCTGATACCGGTTTAATCTTTAAACGAAGACCAGCTAAATCAGCTATTGCGTATGTCTATTAAAATAGTTTCATGTTGATATCACTCTTTTATTTAGGATCTTTGTTGATTTCGGTTCATTTCAAGTGTTTGGTATGGCTACAGATTTGCAACAATCTGAATTTTCCAATATTAATCGTCCTGTACTTGCTCAACCTGTTTCTCAATCATTATCCACATCCAATCAACAAAAATTTTTACAAGTTGAATTTGAAACAAATCCATTAGATGGATCATCAGATTATCGTGTTAAAATTGTTTCACAATCGCTTGAGATTAAATACAATGCAGTAAATATATAATATTAATTATATAATATAATAAAACAACATTTTTCCTTTAGCCAACAATAAATAAATTATTTGAATGTTTTGAACAAGATACTCAACGTAATCTTCAAGGGTAAATTATAATTTAAAAATGAATTTTATTTAAAATAATTTTATTTTAGTGTTAAACAAGCTGCTTATTCAACTTATACAAATGTTAAACATCGTTCTTATATATTAATGAAACATAATATTGAAAAAATCAAAGTTTTAGATATTAATGTTGATCTTCAATCATCTTATTTTCTTTTACCAGAAAATGGAGTTTACCAAGAGTAAGAAAATGATTTTTATCTGAGAATTATTTTAATCTATTGAGTTATTTTATTTTCTAGTGGTGCTGCAGCGATTTGCATGGATTTCGGTCATTTAACATTAAAACGTCGTACAACACCCGGTGAAAACAGAGAACAAGATACTTCACTTAAAGAAGCAAAAGTAAGAAGTAGCATTCTTTTTTTGAAACATCGAAATTTTGGACTGTTCCTAAGCTCTTCTTATCAACTCTCATAAAGTCGTATTTATATTAATAGTTACTACACTTCATAGTGCTTCGGAGTGTCTATTTTCATTAAAAAGTAGTTATCAGTAGCATACATTAAGATTAAACTATAGTTCTGGAGATTTGTTTAGTAAGTTGGCAATATTTGTGAGAAAACATCAATGAGTTAATAGTAGATCCGACTAGTTTCACTTCATAGATCTATTAACTATTCCTCTTTTTTTGTTGGCACCTACTGTATATAAGCAAAAATTGCTTCAAAAACTAAATTGTTCCTAATAGAGTTAAAGTAGGCTGCTCGGCACTACATTTTATTGAAAATACATGTGACTAAGCACTATCGAATGTCCAATATTTTAATAGGACTTTTTATTTTCCGGAAAGTTATTGAGAGAAATTTAAGTCTAAGTTGAAAGTCATATGAAATTTCTGGCTTCGGCTAAAGAGTCACTAGAATGTTACATTACATTGGATTGAATTTCATGTACCTCAAATTTTCTCTTATGCTTATAATTTGATTTACAATAGGACATTGAAGAAGCACGTGAAAAATCTTTTACTCAATTTAAATTAAAACTTGAAGATATTCAATTAATTTATGCAAACCGAAGTAAAACAGAAAAAAAACTATTAAAAATAAAAAATAATCATTTTTCAAAAATAAAATTTAGATGAAAGTTGGGAAAAAGCTCGTCAAGAAAAATATACAAATATACATTTAATTAAACCAATGGAACTTGATTTAGATGTTGGTAAATGTATTTATAATGATGATGCTGTTTTATCTGCGTAAGGTTTTCTTTAGAAAAATATTTAAATGAATTTTCATTTTATTTTATTTTAGTTGGAAAGTTGCTGGAAATCTTCCTAACATAGATTTACGTTTATCGGATAAACGTTTATTTCAAATAATGAATCATATGCAATCAATTCCATTTCCGGAATCGAAACATCCAGTTGTTGCTGCACAATCAATTGAAACAGAAGTTTTTTTTATTGACTTTTTTCAATTTCGAAAACAAACGAAATCTTTGAATTTAGCCGATACTTGTACCATCATCATTGAGTAATCCTGAAAAAACATTAGAAGTAGTTGAAGGAATGGCACCAGTTAAAAAAACTAAAGAAAAATTCGAAGCAAAAGAAAATAAAGATAAACAAATCCAAAATACTGATAAAATTAAGAAAAAAAATGAATGTGAAGGTCAATTAACACAATTAGAAGCAAAATTTTCACTTGATAAAGTAAAGAAGTTTTTATTTTTAATTAACTATTTTAATAATCTTCATTTTGTTGTTTTATGAAAGATTAATGTACATATTGATGAAAGTATGAATGAAAATAATGAACATGCACCATTTCTTCGTATAACACTTGAATCCATTGTTGCTCAAACAAAAATAAAAACATTCGATAAGGAATTTGATGCATCATTAGCTAATTTAATTCTCTATCATGAACAATTTATTGTTAAAGATAATCAACAATTACGTTTATTATCAGCTCAATTAGAACAAGACACTTCTAATAATCAAAATAAAAAATTAGTTTGTGTCAATTTTCTTCATACATCACCAGAAAATCCATTATTTTTAACATCTCAATATGATGGAATTGAAAATATAGCTCATGTTCATTTTAGTAAACTTGTTGTGACATTACAATTAGAAGCACTTTTATCAATATTAAGATTTCAAGATACATTAATGAAACAATTATCACAAGATACACTAGAAAACCAAGCAAAAAAGAAACAAGAAGAAGAAATGAAAAAACAACAAGAACAAAAAAATGTTGAAGATAATAAAAATATTGATAAAACTGGAATAGCTATACAGAAAAAAGGTAAGCAACCTACAGCATCGTGATAAAATCACATTTGTTTTTCATTTTATATTTGTATTACTTCAACAGAAGGAAGCTGAATATATCAGATTATATTTAGGATGAGTTGCCGTATATATCTTGAAAGTTTATTTTAAAAAACAAGTTAAAGGAGAAAGGATACTACTGATTTTCGGATACCTTGCAGTATAGAATATTGCATAATGATAGATTCAGTAGATCTATGTCTTTCCTACCAATAATACTAGCTATATCTTTGAACAAAAGGCTAGTCTATAGGAAGCTACGGGGCTCCCTTTTTGTGAGACTGAGCCCAATCAGATCCAGACTAAAGCTCTTTCGTCGATATCTAGCAATTCCTATCAGAGAACGTCACAGGACCTGCACCACCCTGCCTGCAAGACGCAGATCCTGCCCTGCATTTTTGGAATTTAGTCCTGCAATTCGCAGGGCAATGCAGGAGCAGGACAACCTTTTTTATATAAAGGACCTGCAGGAAGATTTACTAGTCCTGCAGGATAGCATTGAAAGCAAAGAACAGAAATAAATCAGTGGTACAAAGATTTTGAGATTCATAGCTATTTCTATCAAGTGATTAGTTATTAATTGTAGAGCGATGAACAGTTATTACATGAAAAATCTAGTATAATCAACACTTCTTAGACGTAATTCCTTCTTTTGTTAATAGTGGCAAGAAAAATATATAATATGCCAGCAATTAGTGCATTGGTGGAAAGGTTATTTAGTTACGCTTGATTAACAGTTATTCAAAGACGAACACGTTTATCAACAAGTCAAATTGATAATATATTATTTATTCGTTCTTACGAGAAATTCAAAAACAAGAAGTAAAAAAGAAGTTTATATTTATCTGTGAGTTTTCATTGCATTGCGAACTTTGTATCTTAATGTTTCTTCTACTATTGATTTGCTGATCTTATGGATCTCAACATTATTCTCGGTTCATTTTATTTCTTTTGAAAAAGTTGTCTTGAAATTTTTTAATAAAATTGTATTATATGTTTCTTCATGTAAACAATACTTTCATCTTTGATGTTGTATCTCATCTTCAGTATCAAAAAGATTGTAAATCCGTTGTCATCGTGATTATCTTCTGATTCCTTTTACTCTTACGAATGTCTAGTACTTTTTGTTCATTTCATTTCATTTCATGTCTGCCAGAAAGCGTGTGATTAGATTAATTAATATGATCATTATAAATGACTTCTATAAAAAGAGTACTTGTAGGATGCTTGACATCAGATCCCATACTTAGATAATATTTTACCTTTTTGTCCTGTAAGTATGTCCTGTCACGACGAAAGTTTTTACGTCCTGCAATCCGTCCTGAAAAGCAGGACAATGTTTGATAATGTCCTGTAAAAATGCAGGACAGGGCGAAAAAAACCGCCCTGTGACGTTCTCTGATTCCTATGCATATAAACAAGTCGAGAATTAAGATTTTAGCTATTTATTGGCTACTCCTAGAGAAAAAAAGAGTCATCGTATATTCATTTCCTGTTTTTTACTCTCATATTATTTGATAGTTAAAACATTAATCGTTTTCACTTAATTGAAACGAGTACTATGTCAACAAAAACAAAAAAATTGAACACTTTATTAATAGAAAAAAAATTCGTTATTGATAGTTGTTAAATCAATAGTAACACCAAAATCATTATCTACAGGAAAAAATCTTAGTTGCATTTAAGGAAACAAGATGATGCGAAAATATGTTGTATACAATTAGCATGAAGATTTATTTATTCATTAAGTAATTTTTTAGTATTAGTTTATTATAAACAAATTAATAAACCATTTAGAATTGAGTTCCATAAACTATTAAAGTTAATTGTGTTGAATTTTCAATACTTCTATGTCGAGTATGCAGAACAGCTAATAACATCATTATTAACCATCTAGCACATAAAAAAATTTTAATGCTAGACGATATTCATTTATAAGGAAGTTTTGGATATATATCTTTGTATATTGAATACCAATCTGAAAGGATCCACAGTTTTCTACTAGTCTCATGCAGATTTTTTGCATTCTAACTAACAGCAAGAGTATATGTATACCACAACGTGATCAGCATACTATCAGATGATTAATCTGAGACAAACAGTTGCAATTGATTAATCCGGAGGCAATTCATAACTGTTACTACCAATTTCTGTGTTTAAAATTAAAAATTGAGTAACTATTATATCAGAACTTGACTTGTATGGCGTTTTATTTCTTAGCCAAATGCTAAATATTTTGTTGCAATAAAAAACGTTCCATGTAATGTCTAGTATTTTCTAAATCGCTTGACTCATATTGAAGGAAAATCAATAAAATTTTCTAATAATAGTAGATCTCAATAGTCTATACCAACAACCAAAATTTCAAAGATTTTTACAATGTGTAAAGCAATGAAATTTTATAATCTTTGCCTGTTTGAATCTATGAGCGATTAATTTCGTTGCATAACAGATTTCAAAAAATATTTTAGATGCTCCAGCAGCACCTTCACTCAAGATCAATGCTGATTTAGAAGAATTTCGAATAATACTTGCATCGAAACAAGCAAATTTATTTGATATACAAGTTCAAGGTTTGAAAAACAATCGTTTTTATTTTCTTTTATAATTCGAATTTCGCTTTCAATTTAATTTAGGTATCAAGGCATACATATTACAGGCACCAGAAAAAATATTAGTCAATTTAATTCTATCTGATTTACGTATTTTGGATCCATATAAAGAAGCACGATATCGAAAAGTAGGAAAAAAACAAAAACAACAATATCAAATAATTTTTTTATTATTATTTTTTCAAATATTTTATTCAGATTATTTCTCAACAAGGTGATGATAAAGAATTACTTCGTGTTGATTTATCTTTATTTACTTATCCTGGAGAATATCAAAAACCTATTGATGTTTTTGATTGTGATGTTAAAGTTCAATTTGCTAAAGCAAATATTGTTTTTCTTTTTAAACATATCGATGCAATTTTGGTAAAAATATCATAACAAAAAAAAAAAAGAAAACATATTTTTTATAATACCTTTATTTCTTTTTGAAAGGGTTTTCTTGATTCATTAAATATAACTAAAGCAACACTTGAAGCAGCATCAACACAAGCTGATGCTGCTTATGAACAAGTACAAAAATTAGAAGAACAAGCATTTAAAGTTCATCTTGATATAACATTTAATGCACCAAATATTATTATTCCAACAAATTCACGTTCTGATGAAGCACTTTTTATTGATTTAGGTAAATTAATATTGAAAACAAATTTTTATGATGATCCAAAAAAATCTCTTGTCGAACAACAAAATATTCGGTTTGAAAATATGCTTGCAAGTCGTGTTAAACTTGATCGAGATTGTAATATACTTGGTGAAGCTATATTACTTGAATGTGCTGAATTAAATACATTAATCGATCGTTTACTATATCCAGACAAAGTTAAAACTGAGCCAGGAGTTTCAATTAAAGTTGATTGGGAATTAGTTCATGTAAATTTTGAGATATAATTTTTCTGTTCTTTCTTTCTATTTTTATTATTGTTTGAATAGTTTCAATTAGCAAAAGATGATTATACATGTGTTATGCGAGTTTTAATGGAAAATTTTTCGGAAAATATTCGTGATCAAATACCTGAAGGTTTCCCGAATGAACAATATCGTTATACAAAAGACGCACAAGAAAAAGAAAAAGAAAAAGCTGCTGCTATTAAGAAACAAAAAGGTTTTGTTAAATGAATTTTATTTTTTATTTATGAAAAATCAATGATTGAATTATGATCCTTTTTTTTTAGAATCTTATAGTACTGAAGTAGTACCAACACTTGAACTAAGTGCTGGAATTCAAAAATTGGCATTGACACTTTATAGTGGAGAATCAGATCTGGTTAGTTTTATATAGAAAAGAAAAAAGAAAAACTTTTGCTGAAGACTCTCATATTATATATTGAGTATTATAAATCATCTCTTGTATATAGAATTCATTATGTATATCACTAAAAACATAATTCACAAATTCTATATATTACAGAAGAGATTTATTTCAAGAAGATATAAAGATCTACAATTATCTAGCCGAATAACAAGAATATGGGTATATTTCCATCTTCATCTGCTCTCACATTGATATTTCCTAGTAGATCGTTCCATTACTACTGCTACAAATTATTAAAAAATAAATTATTTTAACATTTATTTTTCAAATATTGTTATCGTCGCAAGTTCTCGTTAGAAATAAAATGTTCCTCGTAACTTAATATTTGAGTTCGTATTAGAGTTTATACCAGTGCAAAAAAAAATATTCGAGATAAACGTGAACATAATACGAATTAAAACGATTTAGAAACTCGACATACTACATATTTCAATTTGTGTTATTCATCTTTCACCATACTTTCTATATTTCAAAGACAAGTTTTTACTCTATCGTTGACTATGACTTTCTTCTTTCAAAATAATTTTGTTTCGTATTATATTTTTTATTAGAGCGCTCGTCGTGTACCACATAATGATAATTCTAAATTAGCCAATGTTGAAATCGACACATTTGAAGTGTTATTTCGTCAACAATCAGACGAAAGTTATAAAGCCACAGCATATGTGGAAAATTTCTTACTTGATGATTTACGTGCAACAAATAAATCATCGAGTGTAACACGTATGATGGATAGATATTTTACAGATGATCCAAATACTCATATGCTTGTTGCATCATTTGAATTTAAACCAAAAAGTCAAGCCGGTCAAACTGCACTTCGACAATGTAAAATAAAAATTTTCAATTAAAATATTTTAAACTAATTCTTTATTATTAGTAACTGCACAACTTGAAAGTCTTTACATTTCTATAAGTTTGGATTATTTAATGATATTACAAGATTTTTTTATTTCTGGTTTACCATCGAGTAATGCTGAAACACCAAAACAGGCTGAACAACAAGCAATAACAACGCTTGAACAATCAGGAAATGATCAAATTCAAACAAAAATTGATAAGGAACCAACATCTGTGGCCGCATCATCAAAACGTATGAAATATTTTTTTTAAACCAATTTCTTCATACTAGAAAAAGAAAATCTTCTTTTTAGCCACAACTGGTCAAGATGCCGATACAGAAGTTGAAACTCGAATAGATGTTAGTTTGAAAAATCCTGAAATCATTTTACTTGAAGATCAACACAATGCAAATTCAAATTGTCTTGTACTTGATGTAAGTTTCATAAGATTTCTTCAATAATCATTTTATAAAGAATAAAAAACAAAATATTTCAGTTAGCTTTACAAATGCATATGATTTCTGTTGGTAATGATACACAATTATATGGTTGTTTAAAAAATTTAACAGTTTATAGTTCAAATTTTGCTGAATTAAAAGGCTCAAAGAATTCGGGATCAAAAATAAAATATTGTGTAAGTTAAAAGAATTGTTAGAATACAAAATTCGGATAGGTTTCTAATTTAATACACAATACATTTACTATTGTTAGTTACGGAGAGATTATTTTATTCTATTAAAAAATCTTATTCAGATTTGTAAGTAGAAACTTACATTCGAGTTCATACAATCTATTCTTCAATACACTGTAAAATTCCATGAAAATATTAGATCTAATTTTAATAGTTAACGAGTGACTCGAAGAATATTGTTTTTCTTCATTATCTATGGATTTCTAGAGAATGTTTTCCAAACAATTTAAGACATTTTGCTTCGAGCAGGTTACACATGTACTAGACACTTACTGCAATGGGCAATGAGGGGCATTTACCAAAAACATTATGGCATAGAGAAGAGCATCCTAACGATGAATAACAAACTGTATATTTAGTAGAAATATTTATTTTCATTGAGTATATATTTGAACTTTTATTTTATCTTCTTTTCCATAAACTTCCTTTTAAACTGATTGTAATTTCACCTCGAAATATTTTATTCTAGCTTCCTCTCAGCAAAGATCTTTAACTTTTAAGAATATTGATTAACAAATAATAGTTATCACAAACTTTAATTAGAAAGACCAGTTCGTCTATATATTTAATTCTGATGAAATAATTGATTTCTAAAAACTTGTAGACACAGCTACCAATCGACGACCAGAAGATACATTAATATCTCTTTAAAAACTTGAGTTTTGTTTAATAAAATTTCATCTATGAGTTTTTGTATGATAGACAGAGGTAAATATTGTAGAATTAATGGTATTGTCTAATTCTTGCGATCGTGTTTAATATTAAATATAAGGCTATCATGTGATCTTTTATCTATAAATATCACCAAAATGAATAGAAAAAAATGGATCTTGCCATTATCCATGACGAATCCTGTTATTTTCAGATGCATTTATTCATCATCTTCCTAGTAAATCATCTAGACTTGTATTAAGAAAGTAATTTATATATTTTAATGATAAGTTCTTGATATATGATTATAAATCGTATATCAACAACACTTGTCACAGTCTGTAAGAGATGCAAATGTCTACTCCATATATTTTAATATTTGTATCCGAACATATTTCACATAATTATTTATTTATTTAATAATTGAATTTTTGTTAAGATTTTACAACCAACTAAAGCTGATATATATTTAACAATAAATAATGAACGTCAAAGGATGGATGTGCGAATATCGGATATTATTGTTAGTATTGCACCAGTTGCTATTCGAACTGTTATTAATGTTACGAGCTCATTAGGAACATTACAAGTTAGAAAAAAAGAAAAGAAAACAGTAAACTATCAAATTTATTTGTATTATGATTTGTTTTTAGGCAGCTGTGAAAACTGAAACCGAAAAACTTAATTCGAAATCATTATTTAATCCAAAATCTATAAAAGATGGAAATTTTTGGTTTACAAAAGGTTTTATTAAATAGTTTCATAGAATTTACTTAATTATTTTATTGAATAGATTATGAAAAAAAATCCCAACAAACTGATGAATCAGAAACAGCTCGAACTGCTTCATCACAACAGACAGCTATTAAAGAAAAAGAAGAAATACCAAAACCATTAATACAACAAGTAATAAAATTAGAAAAATGAAAAAAGAAATCAATTTTTAAAATTACATATGAAATTCATCTTTTTTAGTTAATTTTAACATTGGAAACCATCGAAGTTAAACTTGAAGTTGAATTAGGTTCAATTATAAAATCTGTTGTAGCTATGTGTTTATCAAATTTAACTGCTAATGTTCAAAATTGGTCATCAAATGTATAAAAAAAAAACATTTTCTATTGACATTTATTTCTATTTTTATCTTTTTTATTCATTTAGATGAGTCTTGCATCAACAGTAAATGTTGAAGCCGCGTTATACAATGAAAATACGTTGAGTTGGGAACCACTTATTGAACCAACAATTGTTTCTGAAGGTTCAGGTGTTTCACCATGGTGTATTACATGTTCAATCTTACCTGTAAGCATATGACTCAGAAAAATATTATTTTTCTTAGCATCGTTTCACTCAAATCTAGATATGTATTCGAGAATTTTTTGTCTTCTTCCTAATAATAATTTATGTTTGAGATTGAGTGAAATTAATTCATTTTTGCAGCGAGATCCAATCATGTCAAAGTTCAAGATTCCTTTTAGATGACTTTTTTTTCGAAAGAATTGTTGCTCGTATAGACCTGAAAGGTTCAACTAAATATATGTTAAAAAAAATCGAATATAACCATAATAAGTAAATATCAACAAAAACCCATTGTTTTAGTTTTGAGTCTATTGAACACTACCTAATGTTGATTATAGAAACATGAAGATTAATAAAAATTAAATATATATATACTAGAGAACTTGAATTTTAGTTTTTTTTTTCATTTCAGCAAGATAAAGATCAAGAAAATGATAGAAAAACTATTTATAATGTATGTTGCTAGTATTATTGATAACGATTTTATTTCTAAACAAACTAAAACTAATAAGCTAAATATTCAATTTGAATGATAAAATATATGTTTTTTCTCTTTTTCTAATTTAAAGACTCTTCCATTGACGGATAAAACTGAAGCACCAATGATAAATGCACAAGAACAAAAAGGTGTGTCATTGTCAAAAGCAAAACAAATAATATTTGTACGTGCTGATCAATTACTTAATATAACAATAACAAAAACTGGACTTAATCTTGTTAAACGTTTATTTGCTTTATTTAATGATGCTTATCATAAACAATTACCACCAAGTGATGATAATGATGATCTACCAATGTTATCTTTATGCAATGAAACAGGACGAGAAATATTTATTAATCATTTAGATGGTCTTCAAGTACGTTTAATACATTTATTTTTTATCGATTTATTATTTTCTTTTTAAAGTTTGCTACTGATTCATCATTACAATCAATTACTCTTCAAACACATGAATCTGTTCCATTAAATGTATTTAATGAACATCAAAGAGCTGGAAGACTTTCAGTAATCGATGAACAAAATTTTAAACGACGAGAAGAATTTTCTGTTAAAGTAAAATATTAAAATAATCTATGATGCGAAAGTTCTAGCACAAAATATTTGCTCAGTTTTTGAGCGTCAACAAATAATAGGAAAAAAATTAATTGAAAATAGAATTTTTCACTTTATCCTAATAAATATGTTCAGATTTTTCTGTCAGTCTAAGATTGATCAATTTTATAAAACAATTCAACAATATGTTTAATCACAGGAAAAAAAAATCGTTTTGGTATCATCCTAAACTTTTTCTATGTGTTTAACATCTTGAAGTAGAGGTGTGCAGGGTAAGCTTTTTTTGTACCCTGTACCCTGTGTGAGCAAATTTCTCACACCCTTCCCCTACCCTACCCTGCTGCATTCGTACCCTTCCCCTACCCTACCCTGTTGCAGTCGTACCCTTCCCCTACCCTACCCTGCTGCATCCGTACCCTGCCCCTACCCTACCCTGTTGCAGTCGTACCCTTGCCCTACCCTGCTACCCTATAGTTTTCTTATTGTCCTTTGCTCTTTCACCATCCAAAAGATTTTAAAAACGGTAAGTTACAGAATAGTGGTACATTTTCCTGATTCATTTTTATTGTCATTACGACATATTAATTTATAATTTCTCTGAAATTTCTAATAAAAAATATGCCATCAACAATGTCATCATTTAAGCTTTGCCGTCGTTCTTCAAGAATCCGACCATTTACACTAAATGTTCTTTCACTAGTACACGAAGTAGCTTATATACCAAATAATTATCTGGCAAAATACTAGATTTTATATACGTTATTGTCCATATTTTCCACCAGCTTAATAGGGATTCTTCATGAGGGTGTGGTTGTGGGGTATGAAACTTCTCTTCATCCATACCCACACCACCCACCCAATATTCAATCAATTATCTCAACAAATCCATATAAATAAAAATTAACTGCTATTCACAATATTATTTAAAGCAAATCAGTAAATAAGTATAAATAAATACAAACTAAATTGTAATTCACAATACTATTCCAAATAAATCAATAAATATATATGAATGAATAATAAATCAATCGAAATCACAATACTATTTCAAGTAAATCAATAAATATGAATAAATGATAAACTAATTGTAATTAACAATACTATTTCAAATGAATCAGTGAACGAATTTATATATAATATATTTCAATTCAATTAAAAAAAAGAGGTCCTAATAATTAATAAATTGATCTTGATTCACAATACTAAGTTCAGTAGATCAATGATAGAGAAGATGATGAACAATATGGCATATTCCTTCCTATCGGTTTAATCCTATCATTAAGTAAAATGACTAATCCTTTTCCAATCCACTAGAGTAATCAGACGAGAAAGTTGCCAGTAGAATATGATCATTCTTCAATAATCATGTGAATATATCAATATAGTGAATATTAACCCATTTAAAAATAGGAATTAAGACGAATTTATTCCATTACCCTTATCCTACCCTACCCTGTAGCGGTCTTACCCTAACCCTACCCTACCCTGTAGCAGTCTTACCCTGACCCTACCCTACCCTGCAGCAGTCTTACCCTGACCCTACCCTACCCTGCAGGGTAGGGTAGGGTAGGGTAGGGTAGGGTAACCCTGCCCACCTCTATCTTGAAGACAGATTTACTTTTGAGAAGAAAGAAAATTTTAAAATATGAGAGAATTTCGAATATTGAATATCACAATTTATCTAAGGAACGAAACTTAGTAAGAACTTTGTTCTTGTAATGCTTGAAATAAGGAATCATCGATTTTTATGCGAACAGGAAGAAATCATAGCTTACTATGGAAAAATTGATTGAAATTTTGATATGTTAAGAACAAAAGCTAAGAAAACCAAACTATTCTAGACTCTTCAATTATTTACTAATACTTATCCGATATGTTCGAAAAGCGATATGATACCTGAACAGGCTACCTATTGAGTTAGTCAAAGCTGTTTTGCATGGTAAATTCACTAAGTTTCAATCGATAATATAAAAATGATAAAAATAGTATTCTGCAAAATTATTCATTTCGATATCTTGAAACAAACTAATAATAGTTATTCAATCTTGTTGCAAGAAAATACTTAAAAAAATCTGATTCTATAATCAATTGTATTTAAGTGAATATTTTGTGCCCAGACTTTTACATCAAAAATTGTATTTATTTTGTTTATGAATAATAAACTGATTTTTAGATTGGAGATTTTGTTAAAACTGTTAGTATAAGTCGAACACGAAAACGTATTTATGAAATGGGTCCTTCATTAAATTTAACTTAGCCTATTCAAATGCTTTGTGATACTCAAATAAATAAATGCGGAAACCTCGGATTTAAATCCGAGAGTTATGTGTACTTCAAAAAGTGAATGAGACAGATGAGTCATCCTAGAATGTGTGGACATCAAAATTATTCTGGCAAACCTTTTCTATAAACCCTTGAATTCCATTGCCTACTGTTCNAAAAACAAAAACAACAATATCAAATAATTTTTTTATTATTATTTTTTCAAATATTTTATTCAGATTATTTCTCAACAAGGTGATGATAAAGAATTACTTCGTGTTGATTTATCTTTATTTACTTATCCTGGAGAATATAAAAAACCTATTGATGTTTTTGATTGTGATCTTAAAGTTCAATTTGCTAAAGCAAATATTGTTTTTCTTTTTAAACATATCGATGCAATTTCGGTTAAAATATCATAACAAAAAAAAACATCTTTCTCATATTACCTTTGTTTCTTTTTGAAAGGGTTTTCTTGATTCATTAAATATAACTAAAGCAGCACTTGAAGCAGCATCAACACAAGCTGATGTTGCTTATGAACAAGTACAAAAATTACAAGAAAAAGCATCTAAAGTTCATCTTGATATAACATTTAATACACCAAATATTATTATTCCAACAAATTCACGTTCTGATGAAGCACTTTTTATTGAGTTAGGTAAATTAATATTGAAAACAAATTTTTATGATGATCCAAAAAAGTATCTTGTCGAACAACAAAATATACGATTTGAAAATATGCTTGTTAGTCGTGTTAAACTTGATCGAGATTGTAATATACTTGGTGAAGCTATATTACTTGAATGTGCTGAATTAAATACATTAATCAATCGTTTACTATATCCAGACAAAGTTAAAACTGAACCTGGACTTTCAATTAAAATTGATTGGGAATTAGTTCATGTAAATTTAGAGATATAATTTTTCTTTTCTTTCTTTTTTTATTTTTATTTGAATAGTTTCAATTAGCAAAAGATGATTACACATGTGTTATGCGAGTTTTAATGGAAAATTTTTCGGAAAACATTCGTGATCAAATACCTGAAGGTTTTCAAAATGAACAATATCGTTATAGACAAGTGGCACAAAAAAAAGAAGAAAAAAAATTAAAAGCTACTGCTATTAAGAAACAAAAAGGTTTTGTTAAATGAATTTTATTTTTAATTTATGAAAAATCAATGATTGAATTATGATTCTTTTTTTTAGAATCTTATAGTACTGAAGTAGTACCAACACTTAAACTACGAGCTGGAATTCAAAAATTGTCATTGACACTCTATAGTGGAGAATCAAATCTGGTTAGTTTTATATAGAAAAGAAAAAAGAAAAACTTTTGCTGAAGACTCTCATATTATATATTGAGTATTATAAGTCATCTCTTGTATATAGAATTCATGATGCAAATCACTAAAAACATAATTCAAAAATTCTATATATTATAGAAGAGATTTATTTCAAGAAGCTATGAGGATCTACAATTATCTAACCGAATAACAAGAATATTGTGCCAATAGAGCACTTGGCCTCTTCGGACTACGTCAGTCGATACCACGTTGTACGATGCTAAGAAGCACATTATTCCAACGTGAAGAGACTAATAGCGTTTACATAGGACGTTGGATGTCCTTTGGTATCCCGCCCCTTGTTCTCGCTCGAGCATCGCGTAATTCGTTCTTGATTCTCTTTCCTCTCTCCTTTTCTTCTCTTCCATTTTTGTCTATTTTCTCCCATTGCTCACTCTTTTCTTTCTCTCCCGTTCTCTATATATGTATGGGTGACTCTGAGACAAAGAGCAGGCAGTTCGTAGTTTAACAAGAAGTAGTTCGTTTAGAATACGAAGCATTTCAGTCTTCGCTGGTTACAGCTGATATAATTGATTGATAAACAAATAGGTTGGTGAACAAGTAACGAAGTTAGGCTGGGTCAAGGATCATAACATTATAAAGACACCCATTCACTCGAATTTATTGTGTGTCGTGTCCTCTTACATTAAACATTGTATATCCGTGTCTCATCTTATCAAATAAATTAACACGGTGTATTATTCCTTGTGTTGTGCATCCTTCAAGTCACACTTATATACATCCACCACGATTGTATATGACGCATCGACGACTCTCTACCCTTTCTCGCCTATAATTTCTCGTTACAAATATGGATATATTTCCACCTGCATCTGCTCTCACATACTGATACTTCCTAGCAGATTGTTTCAATACTACTGCTACAAATTATTAAAAAATAAATTATTTTAACATTTATTTTTCAAATATTGTTATCGTCGCAAGTTCTTGTTAGAAATAAAATGTTCCACGTAACTTAATATTTGAGTTTTTATTAGAATTTATACCAATGCAAAAAAAAAATATTCGAGATAAAGGTGAACATAATAGGAATTAAAACGATTTAGAAACTTGACATACTAGATATTTCAATTTGTTTTATTCATCTTTCACCATACTTTCTATATTTCAAAGACAAGTTTTTACTCTATCGTTAATTATGACTTTCTTCTTTCAAAATAATTTTGTTTCATATTATATTTTTTATTAGAGCGCTCGTCGTGGACCACGTAATGATAATTCTAAATTAGCCAATGTTGAAATCGACACATTTCAAGCGTTATTTCGTCAACAATCAGATGGAAGTTATAAAGCAACAGGACGTGTGAAAAATTTCTTACTTGATGATTTACGTGCAACAAATAAATCATCGAGTGTAACACGTATCATGAATAGACACTTTACAGTTGATCCAAATGCTCATATGCTTGTTGCATCATTTGAATTTAAACCAAAAAGTCAAGCACGTCAAACTGCACTTCGGCAATATAAAATAAAAATTTTCAATGAAAATATTTTAAACTAATTCTTTATTATTAGTAACTGCACAACTTGAAAGTCTTTACATTTCTATAAGTTTGGATTATTTAATGATATTACAAGATTTTTTTATTTCTGGTTTACCATCGAGTAATGCTGAAACACCAAAACAGGCTGAACAACAAGCAATAACAACGCTTGAACAATCAGGAAATGATCAAACTCGAACAAAAATTGATGAGGAACCAACATCTGTGGCATCGTCAAAACGTATGAAATATTTTTTTAAAACCAATTTCTTCATACTAGAAAAAGAAAATCTTCTTTTAAGCTACAACTAGTCAAGATGCCGATACAGAAGTTGAAACTCGAATAGATGTTTGTGTGAAAAATCCCGAAATCATTTTACTTGAAGATCAACACAATGCAAATTCAAATTGTCTTGTACTTGATGTAAGTTTCTTAAGATTTCTTCAATAATCCTTTTATAAAGAATAAAAAAACAAAATATTTCAGTTAGCTTTACAAATGCGTATGATTTCTATTGGTAATGATACACAATTATATGGTTGGTTAAAAAATTTAACAGTTTATAGTTCAAATTTTGCTGAATTAAGAGACTCAAACAATTCGAGATCAAAAATAAAATATCGTGTAAGTTAAAAGAATTGTTAGAATACAAAATTCGGATAGGATTCTAATTTAATATACGATACATTTGCTATTGTTAGTTGGGGAGAGATTATTTTATTCTATTAAAAAAACTTATTCAGATTTGAAAGTAGAAACTTATATTCGAGTTCATATAATCTATTCTTCAATATACTGTAAAATTCCATGAAAATATTAGATCTAATTTTAATAGTTAATGAGTGACTCGAAGAATATTGTTTTTATTCATTATCTATGGATTTCTAGATAATGTTTCCCAAACAATTTGAGACATTTTGCTCCGAGCAGTTTACACATGTACTAGACACTTAATGCAATGGGCAATGAGGGACATGTGCCAAAAACATTATGGCATAGAAAAGAGCATCCTAATTATGAATGACAAACTGTATATTTAATAGAAATATTCATTTTCACTGAGTATATATTTGAACTTTAATTTTATCTTCTTTTCCATCAACTTCCTTTTAAACTGATTGTAATTTCACCTCGAAATATTTTATTTTAGCCTTCTTTCAGCAAAGATCTTTAACTTTTAAGAATATTGATTAACAAATAATAGTTATCACAAACTTTCATTAGAAAGATCAGTCTGTCTAAATATTTAATTCTGATGAAATAATTGATTTCTAAAAACTTTTAGACGCAGCTACCAATCGACTATCAGACCATATATAAATATTTCTTTAAAAACTTGAATTTTATTTAATAAAATTTCATCTATGTGTTTTTGAATGGTAGAGGGAAGTAAATATTGTAGAATTAATAGTATTGTATAATTCTTGCGATCATGTTTAATATTAAATATAAGGCTATCGTGTAATCTTCTATCTATAAATATCACCAAAATAAATATAAAAAAAGGATCTTACCATATCCTTCACGAATCCTGTTATTTTCAGATGCATTTATTCCTCATCTTCCTAGTAAATCGTCTAGACTTGTATTAAGAAAGTAATTTATATATTTTAACGATAAGTTATTGACATATAATTATAAATGGTATATCAACAACACTTGTCACAGTCCGTAAGAGATGCAAATGTTTACTCCATATATTTTAATATTTGTATCCGAACATATTTCACATAATTATTTATTTATTTAATAATTGAATTTTTATTAAGATTTTACAACCAACTAAAGCTGATATATATTTAACAATGAATAATGAACGTCAAAGAATGGATGTGCGAATATCAAATATTATTGTTAATATTGCACCAGCTGCTATTCGAACTGTTATTAATGTTACGAGCTCATTAGGAACGTCGCAAGTTAGAAAAAAAAAGAAATTAAAATATAAAAGTTATTTGTGTCGTCCTTTATTTCCAGACAACTGCAAAAGATGGAACTGAAAAACTTAATTCGAAATTATTATTTAATCCAAAATCTATAACAGATGGAAACTTTTGGTTTACGAAAGGTTATATGAAATATTTTCATTGAATTTAATTAATGCTTTTTTTTCTTTTATTTAATAAATAAAGAGAATGAAACCCAACAAAACAATCAATCAGAAACAGTTCAAGATGCTTCATCACAACAGGTAGCTATTAAAGAAAAAGAAGAAATACCAAAACCATTAATACAACAAGTAATAAAATTACAAAAATGAAAAAAGAAATCAATTTTTAAAATTACATATGAAATTCGTCTTTTTTAGTTAATTTTAACATTGGAAACAATCGAAGTTAAACTTGAAGTTGGATTAGGTTCAATCACAAAATCTGTTGTAGCTATATCTTTATCATATTTAACTGCTGATGTTCAAAATTGGTCATCAAATGTATAAAAAAAAACATTTTCTATTGCCATTTATTTCTATTTTTATCTTTTTTTTATTAATTTAGATGAGTCTTGCATCAACAGTAAATGTTGAAGCAGCGTTATACAACGAAAATACGTTGAGTTGGGAACCACTTATTGAACCAACAATTGTTTCTGAAGGGACAGATGTTTCACCATGGTGTATTACATGTTCAATCTTACCTGTAAGCATATGACTTAGAAAAATATTATTTTTCTTAGCATCGTTTCACTCAAATCTAGATATGTATTCGAAAATTTTTTGTCTTCTTTCTAATAATAATTTATGTTTGAGATTGAGTCGAATTAATTCATTTTTGCAGCGAGATCTGATCATGTCAAAGTTCAAAATTCCTTTTAGATGACTTTTTCTTTTTAAAAGAATTGTTGTTCGTATAGACTGAAAGGTCCAACTAAATATATGTTAAAAAAATCGAACATAACCATCATATGTAAATATCAACAAAAACCCATTGTTTTAGTTTTAAATCTATAGAACACTATCTAATATTGATTATAGAAACATGAAGATTAATAAAACTTAAATATAAATATATACTAGAAAACTTGAATTTTAGTTTTTTTCTTCATTTCAGCAAGATAAAGATCAAGAAAATGATAGAAAAACTATTTATAATGTATGTTGCTAGTATTATTCATAACGATTTAATTTCTAAACAAACTAAAATTAATACGTTAAATATTTAATTTGAATGATATAATATCTGTTTGTTTTTCTTTTTCTAATTTAAAGACTCTTTCATTGACGGATAAAACTGAAGCACCGATGACAAATGCACAAGAACAAAAAGGTGTTTCATCGTCAAAAGTAAAACAAATAATATTTGTACGTGTTGATCAATTACTTAATATAACAATAACAAAAACTAGACTTAATCTTGTTAAACATTTGTCAGCTTTATTTAATGATGTTTATAATAAACGATTACCACCAAGTGATGATGATGATCTACCAATGTTATCTTTATGCAATAAAACAGGACGAGAAATATTTATTAATCATTTAGATGGTCTTGAAGTAAGTTTAAAAAATTAATTTTTTTATCGATTTATTATTTTTTTTTTAAAGTTTGCTACTGATTCATCATTACAATCAATTACTCTTCAAACACATGAATCTGTTCCATTAAATGTATTTAATGAACATCAAAGAGCTGGAAGACTTTCAGTAATCGATGAACAAAATTTTAAACGACGAGAAGAATTTTCTGTTAAAGTAAAATATTAAAATAATCTATGATGCGAAAGTTCTAGCACAAAATATNCCCCCTATTTACGCCCCTGCTTACTGTAAGTAATTTTGTTTACTAACAAAGGAAAAGACTGATTGTTATAGTCAGTAAAATAGTTGAAATAGGATGTCGAGATGGGTATGATTTCGAATGGATTTTCATTTTATTCATACCCATCTTAATTTCATATTCTACGTTAAGGTTCACAACTGGAGATGTGCAGGACAAGCAGTAGTCTAAGTGTTACAGTGTTTCAAATGTAGTTAGCTCCATAAAAGTTCTATTCTTGAGTTGAGAATTGAGCTTTTTAGTTATTCAGATAATTAAAATAAAAAAGTTAGTCATCACATCTTCTTAGAGAATTGATGTATGGAATTGCAAGTTTCAAATCAGTCGATAATCAATAATGAATCACAAAAATAATTACGCAATCAATTGAAAGCGTTTTCATAGAAACATATCGACAAGTATTGATAAAGTTCTCATAATAACGAATTCCGATTTGTATCCATTACTATTTTGTTCATCATTCAATTACTTGATTGGATGCACTGCAGATAAATCGTGTTTATACTTCATGTGATAAACTGTGGTGAAATTAATAGTAGAAACAAATATTCATTTTTTTTTCTATCAGATATCGATTTCTTGATAATTGACATTCGAAGTGTGATATGGTATTTAGCAGTCAAATAAAATCTAAATACCATCTAGTTTGATTTTATGCTCTTCGTCAAACGTAAAAAACAAGTATTGTTTGTGACGTCCGATCCAATATATTTCATTTGCTTTTCTTCTTTCATGCATACAACGAATGTGTTCGTGACAGTGTTGCCATCGCTATGGCATTAGCGATGTAAGAATTGTTTTAGTAATACTATCACGACAGCAATGTGTTAGTCTCGATTCTTCTAAAAATTTGTATGAAAAAAAAAAGAGAACAGTATAATAAGAACAAGTCTGCAACTCATTCTATGATGAATTAAATCAAGTTATTTTAAAACTCTCTAATAAAAATTTCAAATATAAAAAACATGCAAGTTATTTTTTTATATCGCGAAATTTTTTCAAATTATTAATCCAAATCGAAATCAACTTCAATATAGAATGAAATATTAGTTGTATAATATGGCTATATTTGAAAATATTTTCTCTTAGCTTAAATATTTCTTATACACTAGTATAGAATGTCTTGAAATCAATATAAAATAGGTTGATTAACTTCTCTAAAGCATTATATGATAGTAACTATAGAACTATAATATACTTCAAGATATTTTAATCATGTTATTTTCTCTTTATCTTCATTAATCATTGTTAATTCGATTAAGAAAATTCTTCTCGCATTTTAGAAACTTGTTAACACTAAATTTAAATTAAAAATTCTTTTTTATAGCCTCAACGTTCTACATTAGGAAAAGAAGGCTCACAGAATGTAACTTACACTGTATTTATTGATGGTATTCAAACAGTTTTACTCTTTTTTGACGATGAAAAAACAATGAAATCAGCTTCAAAAGTATGAATTTCATCTTTATGTAAATAAAAATATATAAATCAACTATTATCCATATAGACACTATCAATGGCTGAATCTATGGATCAATGTATACAGATTGGTATACATGATATTGGTGTTTCTATAGTTAATGATATAACACGAGAAGAAATGCTTTATATAAGTTTAAATAAATCAAAACTTGTCTGGACTGAAATGAAAAGTAATCGCTGTGAAACGTTATCACGTAGAGTAAATGCATATTTGGAAGAACTATATACAACTCATCTTGAACAATGTGAAATGAATCCTGATAATAAAGAACTTCAAAAGAAAAAATATCAAATGGAAGGATTTCAAGTATAATTCATTTTTTTCTATTTTTCTTGTACATGAAAATTAAAAAAATGTGTTTTTTTAAAGGAAGTTTCATTTGATGATGAAACAGCAGAATTAGTTGATTCGAAAACAAATAGAAAAAAAGCTCAACGACAAGCATTAGATGGCCTATGGATTGAATATGCATGGTCAGCATCAGATTCTGCAATACACATACGTATTAATCGTGTACAAATTGATAATCAACTTGATTACACAACATATCCTGTTATGCTTCATCCAAGCGTTACAAAAGAAACAGGACCCGATTATGCTGAAAAACCTTTTATTGAATCAAGTGTTTATCAATCTAAAATAGCACAATCAAATATAATGCAATTTAAATTTTTTTTTCAAATGCTTATTCAAGAATTTGCTGTTCAAATTGATCAGGGTTCAATTGTTGCCATTCTTAACTTTTTAAAACCAGAAAATGTTTGTTTTTCTTGTTTTATCTTTATTCATTCTGCTTTTTTTGTTTTTGTTCATTTCAATAGACTAATGCAGCGCCAACAATCAATATGAATACTGATTTAGAACAAATTCAAAAACCACTTAATGCTATTATTAAAGCACAAATTGAAAGTCCATCGGGTGAAACCGAAATGTTTTTTGATAATATTCATTTATCACCACTTAAAGTATTAAAAATAAATTTATTTTCGTTTGGTTTTTGTTTTTCCTAAGTAAAATCTTAGAAGTCATGTATGGAGGACGTCCATATAAAGAAGGCGGTGTGATCCGTAGAAAGTAGATATATCTAGATTGAGATGGAAAAAGGGCGATCAATGAATTCTGGATACTCAGCCACTTATGATGAATATTTTCCTTGTTTTTTTTGACACACAGCTTATCAGAAACTTTTTCAAAGCTAACTTGTCTTGAAGAGTATTTTAAAAAAGGAAATGAACTGAATATGAATATAGTGTTAAAACTATTGAATTTACGCGATATAATTAGGTAGTTATTTTATGAGACAGTTCCGTAGGATTCTCGAATGTGATTGAAATCGAACTTCAATTTCTTTTCTAATATTTTTACTATTTTGTGCTCATTAAAGTTGTGTGTATTTAAAGAAAACAAGCGTTATAATAGGTTAGATTTGTATTTGTTCTGTATGGAATATGTGTTTATTTATTTTTCATGATATGCATCGATTTATTGCTATTTTTATTATCATACAGTATATTAGATTTTGGAGTCACTTGTGTCCAGTACAAAAATTTTGAATAGGATAAGCTCTAGTCCTCTGAGAAATGCGTTGAGTACGTTCATAACTGAACTTTAAAAAAATGGAAAATAGTATTTCGTAACTTCTGGTGAATTATCAAATTCAGATTACTCAATATCATTTATTAATATCGAAGTAAGGTTCAAAGAAGTTGAACTCGATAAGTTTTACTGAATACTCAAGATGGAGAATAGGATCGATTAAACTGGATAGGAAAGTAAAAGTGAGGATCACAAAACAATATTCTTACCTGAATATCTTTTATGAATGACCTCTTATATTTAGATTCATGTTAGTTTTTCAATGCATGGATCAAATCCAAGTGAGGAGTTATTAGCTGAATATCCATTAGTTGGATTTCTTTTACAAACATTGAACGTTGCTGAAGTACAAGATGTTATTTTACGGTAGGAAATTTTGATTTTTGTTAATAGTATTCAGTGTTGATTGTTTTAATTTTTAGTTTGGGTTATTATGAAAGAAATGATCAAAAATTTACAACAACAAAAATAAAAAATGAAGTTTCATCTCATTATCAAAATCAATTTATGAAACAAATTCATGTATTAGTACTTGGACTTGACGTACTCGGAAATCCATTAGGTGTTATTCGTGGTCTTGCAGAAGGAGTTGAATCATTCTTTTATCAACCATATAATGTAAAATGAAAAAATAATAGAAAATAAAAAATTTATAATCATGTTTGAAAATAATTTTTAAGGGTGCAATTGAAGGTCCATTAGAATTTGCTGAAGGTGTAGCAACCGGTTTTCGAGCATTATTTGGTTCAGTTGTTGGTGGTGCTGCTGGTGCTGCTTCAAAAATAACTAGTGCGTTTGGAAAAGGTTTAGCAAGTTTAGCATTTGATGAAGATTATAAGATTTCACGTATTCGACGCAAAGAACCTGGAGCGACTGCTACATCACATATTGCTATAGGAGGAAAAAATGTTGTTATGGTTTGTTGATACTTTTTCTATGACAGAATTCGAAATTTATTTGTTTTTCTTCTCTGAAATAGGGTTTTGTTGATGGTGTTAAGGGTATGGTAAAAAAACCAATAAGAGGAGCAAAACATGGTGGAGCATCGGGTTTTTTCAAAGGTTTAGGACAAGGTGTTGTTGGTCTTGTCGCACGACCAACAGGTGGTGTTGTAGATTTCGCTAGCACATCACTCGATTTAATTAAAAGGTAAGATAGTTTTGTTTATAGATATATTTGATTGTTTACACATAATTCCTGTACATAAAGATGATCAATAAAGTTAAAGCATATATAATATTTCCCATTGCCACTGGATACTTGTATTCTGTGACCTATACAAACAAAAATACAAATAAATATGATGATTGACTATTGTTTAACACAAAGTTTTGCTTTCAAAATTATATTTATGTTTGTAGATCAGTAAGAAATAAAATTCNGAGCTGTCACTACCTAACAGGAACGAATAACTTAATAGTGGTACTTTAACTAAGAATCACCTTCATTCATAGTGATTTGTTTCACAAGGCTGTCCTTCGGAGCGCAGATCCCAGAAAGATTCAATAATAAGTGTTACAGGAGAAAAGGTTAGGGGGGAGCCCGGGCCCCTCGGGCTCCCCCCTTGCCTACGGGCCTGCACACCATATGCCTAATATATTCAAGGTTATCGTATTTATTCTACATATCTTGTGTTTAAGTATGCGTCGATCATCAATATTCTTATCGACACTATCAAGTACTATTATTCTTTTGTATGTTATAACAAAAAAAAAGAAGATGAAATTCGGTCTGTGCACTATTGAAAGTAATGGATTTGAACTTGTATGATCTCTTTTGAAAGTACTCGATGAGAACGTATACATACAACTCATAAACAAAGAATAAGCATAGACTTTGACTCTTTTTTTCTTAACACAATTAACTAAACTTCAATTCACATAAGGTTTCTTAGTTGACAGAAAAATTTGAGAAAGTATATTTGATGATGTGAGCTTCAAACGAACGAGCGCATTAGAGTTCTATTTGAATTTCAAAAGTTTTTTTGTTTTTATTCACATTTTTATTATGAAAAAAAAACTTGTTAACTTTGACCTCTTGATTTATTTTTTTCTGGTTGTTATTGTTATTATTTTTCTTTCATAAATCAATTCAAGTCACGCATGAGATAGAAGAACTATTACTATTACAAATTTGCCAACTAAGGGTTTGTATCCATACTATGGTCTATTGCGAAAGCATAAATTTACTGGTAAAACTGTTATGATTCGTAAAGAACAAAATAGTACAAAGAATGTCTATTATTAGATTTGATCAGGTGTATACTAATCTATAATTATCAATGAATCAATGAGTTTTTTTAAATGTATGCATATATGCGTTGATTTGACAAAATAGGACAATTGGTTTTTTTTAATAGAGTTATCAAAATGAAAAATGTAATAACCTTGCACTTATTTAATTGAGAACATATTATTATACGTTATCTTTTGCAAAATCAATCACAAAATATGATGGACATGTTCAGGGTTAAAGCATTTCTTATTTTAACTAACTATGGTTGTTAAATTTGAGGCACACGTAGACAGAGCAAATAAATAAAAGACATTAGTAGAAATTTGATAGCAGAAAAGGCTATGTCTGTCTGATCGATTGATTATGTCATTTTTTTTCTATAGAGTTTTTAATGTTTTCGCACTTGACTATGATGAGAAAATGAATGTTCATATGTGTTGTATATTGTTCAGTTTCAATAATTTATGACAATGAATTGATTGAACACTTTATTTGTTTTTATGTGTTCATTAACAATAATAGGTTGGATATTACTACTAAAAATAATCAATTGAACAAGAAAGACAGTATATCACTTTTTTTCTTATTCTCTTTCTTATGTATTTGACAAAACATTGAAGAAAGAGAAAGAAAGAACGAGAATGTGTACACGAAAAGAAAAGAACGATGATGCGAAGAAAGAATATATGTAATTTTCTTGTTCGACTCTCTCCCTTTTTTCTTTGTATGATTATTTTTTCATAAATAGCATAAGACGAACGTAAATCCTTCCCTTTCATTCTCTGTATGCATGAGATGAGATAGTCTCTCATCAATGATTATTTTCTCATTTAATTTCGATTACAATCTTAATATTGTATTTCTAACTTATAGGTAAATTTATTTCAATGAATAATGTTTGTTATCTTTTTTAGCTTTTAATATTGATTGATTAATGGTTCTTATTCGAATATCATTTCAAATCAATTTGACGAATGGATGGCAACAAGAATAATTCTACTGTTTATTTTAGTCGCCGGTCTTTTACCTGTGGTAAGAAAGAATTAAAAAAAATTATGATTTCGTTTGATTTATAAGAATTCGTCTTTTCTATGATCTCAATGAAAGACTACTTATTAATGCATTTTTTAAGTTGGAATTAGATGTATATTGTGACATATCAGTTTATGAGCTGCTACAGTTCGCATATATTATGAATAAATTCGAATTCATATCTCTAAACAAAATTGCCCACCTATAGAGTATATTTTTCTCATCATTGTGACCTCATTTTATTATATATAGTGCTTTAAGCAAACTGAGGAGGGAAGAGTATTCGTTATAATGTAAAAAACAAAATCATGTGTGTCGCTTTTTCCTTGGTATTATGCTTTATAACAGTTTCTTTCCACAAGTTATTATGATATTCAAATAAATGAATATAACTATTTGAATTAGTGCTTGATGAAAGTTACTATCAATGAATACTGTAGACGAACCTATATATTCAATTCAAGTCAGTTATTCTTTTCATAAAAGTAGTGTAAAAAGAAAACATGACTATTGAAAAGAAAAAAAAAGAGGCGGTTCATTATTGTTCGAGTGAATGTGCGTCAGAAGGTGATGTTTATATTCTCATAAATTGCATGTATAACGATGAAGAACATCAGGCTGCGTCAAGGCTTGACAATAATAATGATGATGGGTTGTTGTTCGTATTTCTATATGATAAGCGTTACAATATGTCTGTTGTGTCTTCATCATCATTATATTGTTCATACTTGTGATATACAGATCACTTTTGTTCCATAATTAGATAATGTTTTGTTATTTTTTTTCTTTTTCTTATTTTGTGCTAATACGCATTGACATCAACGAATTATTACCTATATTTCGTATATGGTCGATAGATATTTACATTGAATTGTCTACTTTATATCAATAATATTAGCCTTAACCGTAATACAGGTATAATGTGATGACTAGGAAAAAGATGCGTGGCATGTACGACTAACGCATATGTGTAGGTGTTTTGTCAACATAAGCTATGCAGTGTAAAGTGATGCATGTATTATGACAAGATTGTTATTATAAGAAACATGTAAAAAATAACTTTCACAAAATGTTTTTGTTGTTCTTTCGTTTGTTAATGATGGTAGGAAGAAACTATAGATCATCCATAGCAATGAGTATTACATCAGCAAGTAGTTCCGGTGTAGTAAATTTCTTTCCCTTTCTTGTTCTATTCATTCATTGAATTTATTAGTAGTCGTAACAAATGTTCATAGCTCACTCGATTCTACTCTATGATTTCCATTTGTAATATAGTAAGAAAGAATTACATCATACGTATACGAAATGATGGCCGTTTAATCTTAATAATGATGGTTGCGAATGATCGAAAAGAGTTGCGAAAGAAAAAAAAAAGAAATTTGAACTATAGGTACTGCTGTTGCCTTTTCTGTTATACAATATCATCAATACAAGGTCGAGAAATCGAGTGAAAAAAAAACGAATGAAAGATGTTGTAGTATTTGAAAATAACGGATTTGTTTGCTTTCTTTAGCCAATATTATCTTTCTCGTCATCTCTAACAATCTCTGGTCAGAAATATCCAAATTCATATATTCAATATAGACGTACTGAAGATCGTCGATATCGACCATCATTGGTCAGTTTTTTACATCAACAACCAGATGGTTCTCAATTAGCAACCATACGTTATTACCGTATTGTTTTTCATTGTAATATTTTACCTGGATCACTCTATCTTCGATTTTCAAATTTAAAACCTTATCGTACTGTTGTTCAAAATCGGCAAGATCCTTCAAGTAAAGCTTTTATTATTTAAATATTTAAAATAATATTTAAAATAAAATTTTAAAAAATTCTAGCAATATTCGGCTTTCGATCCGTGGGTGCTTATAGTCGTGTTCAAATTCAGAATTATCTCTCTCGTCAATGGTTATGTATGAATAAAGATGGAAAAATAATATTAAAGGTATATTTGAAGTTTTTATACTTAATATGATTTTCTAAATTGAATTTTTTGTAGTTGAATATTACAATAAATAATCTTGCATGTATATTTCGTCAGAATTCTGATGGACCATATATGACACTTATTTCTGAACTTGATTCATCACGTAAAATGACTTTTAGTACTCTTCATCTTTTATTAATGAATCCTATTCTTCGCCATCGCTATGAACAATATATGACTGATGCAAATCAAATTTTTCAACAAGAACAGTGTAGTCGATTTATACTCGACAGTCAAATTGATATAACTTTATTCAATCGAACAACAAATTCATTTTTTCGATTGAAACATTAATTTTTATGGTTTAGGGACGATAAATGAATAGTTTATTTGAATATCTATTTTTTATGGCACATAGTCAAATGTTTAAATATTTGGTTTTTATTTCGTCTTGTTTTTTTTAATATTTATTATGAATTGTTCTATTTGTATAATTTATTATACTTTTACTATTTTGTATGTATGCAGTTGGTGCTCTGTTTATATATTTTAGTTGGTTTTTATCAAATTATGAATGTTTATTTGTTTGTTAGTTGAACAATAACAAAATTGATATGATTTTCTTTTTTTTCTGTGAAAAATAAAAGAATATCGAGATTAATTTATAGTTTGAATACTGGTAGAATTATTAATAATACATTATTCATTGTTGAATTCGATAGAATATGTTCTTGTTTTTTTTATTTATTTTGCTGTAAAAGATTACGTACACCCGTAATATGCTTTAACTTTCTCTATATCTAAATTGGTCATTTGCACTGAACTGCCCATGACTGTTTGGCTAACATTTACTTTTGGAATTATTGTTGGTTGACCATTTTTTGAAAAAGCATTCCATTTATAATGCATGATAGAAGCTAAACAAGTCAAATGATGAATAGTGTTTGTTTTTGAAAAGTATTCTTACTGATATCATATTCTTTACTGAGTGTGTTGACCTCTGATGTGAGATATCGTTGAAAATTATTTTCTTTGCCAGTTTCAATATTATTATAATTGATAGTAACATATTGATCTCGATCAGGTCGAGTCTGTTCATGAGCGAAACCAACAGCATGTAATAGTTCATGTATAATAATACTTTGAGAAACACAGCCTGGATTTTGAAGTGAAAGATCCTGCGAGCCGCTTGCCCTTATTCGTCCCATATATGACCAACAACTATTTCATTTTAACAAAAAAGATAAATTGAATAAGAGTTTTTGAAAAAAGCGCTGAGATCACTTACCCTGTACCAGCATAGATGCGTACCCAAGTTGGTTGATTTGTGCGTTGCACAAAACGAATACAATTATTTGTTTGTTGTTCAATTTTACGCATTGCATTTGTAATTGTTGTTATTTGTGTAGCCGAAAATTGTGATTGCTCGATTAAGTACGGAAGAATACCACTAGTCCATTTTGATGATAAGATGTAAGCATTTTTAAGGGGAGCAAGTAGAGGTGATATTGAGCCAGTATCAAATGCTATGTCACCTTCAATAATTACTAAGTCAGGTCGATCATCGATCGTCACATTCATAAATAAATTGACTGGACCACTATGAACTGCTGAATAGCAAGCAAACAAAAGAAAAATATATGCGTGCATTATAATAAAAGACTGAGTGATAATAATTTCAATAATAAAAATATCTCGCTTTTTAAAGCACATAAAAACACAATTAAAATTGAATATGTGAATAAAAACAGATGTTATCATGTGATGATAGACATTCTGACTTCGTACACACGGTACACATTTGACTGGTGCATTTTTTTCTCACGTGTTTTCTTGTTTTTTTTTTGGCATATTTGTAGAACGTGTTGTGTTATATACATTAGTCGCGCAAGAATTCGAAAGTTAGGAAAGGGGGAGGCAATGAGGAATAACTGCATTGCGGAAACATTTTCCAGCGAGGTCGGATAAAATTTCGAAGAAGTACATCCGTTTTTTTTGTCCGTAGTAAAAGAAGATTTTTGGTTATTAAATGGGTATACATTCTCTCAAACATTAAACTTTCGCGACCGCCGGTTATAAAATTATTCACAATACTAATCTTTTATTTAAATTAAATCATCTAAAAACCTAGGGAGTTACTTTTTGTCGATGATTTTTGAGTTAAAATAGCGTTTTTACTCTTGGGTCTTTTTCTGAAAAAAAACTTTAAGGAATTCGTTGAAGAAATAGAATATTAATAATAAGGAAAATAATCAATACAATACTTTATTTCATCGTTCTCTTTACAAATTTAATTTTATAGCAGTGATACTGTGGATTTCGCTTAATATGAAATGGTCTGTGACTTCGAAAATCAAGAATAACTACAGGGTGACTCAAAAGTCATGATACGGAAAAAAATTGAATATCTCCATTATGCCTTGAGGCAACGAGCTGAGTTTTTTTCCAATGATAGAGGCATGTTCAAACTTTATATCCATAAAGACATGCCTAGAGAGAATCTTTATTAAATACTACTATTGACCTCAATAAAAAACTTTTACTTTTCACAGGTAGGAAATAAAACAATATACTTAACAAAGAGTTTCTCTAGGCACATTCTTACGAATATAAAGCTTGAACATGCCTCTATCACTGATAAAAAAATCAGCTCGTGTGCTCAAGCCATAATGAAGATATTCAATTTTTTTTCGGTATCGTGACTTTTGGGCCACCCTGTATATATCATGTTGTTTGTATTTAATTACTTCAGACCTTAAGGATGTGAAAGTTCGAAATTTCAAAGCTCGTTTTTTTTTAACATGAATAGAATTGAAATAAAATATATGTTAACAGTTTTACTCGTACGAATAATAAATTTTCAATATTCTCGAGTGGTATCATTGAACAAAATGAAGCATGATTTTTTTTACTAAGGCTAAAGTTTGAATTTGCTCAGATTTGATGCAGTATTTTCTATTGATACATTGAATTTCATGGCAAATGCAAGATCAAAAATGAATGTCCTAATCAAACGTATTTCAATTGTTGTGTTCAGTCAAAACCCAATTTCTTATTATTGCATGAAACAATACTTCTGCAAGTTTTGTCAAAATAAGAAAAAATATCGACATGAAAAAAATTTCAATGAGATATAAGTTTCATAGCAATAATAGAACTTTCTGGATTTTTTGAAATAACAATAAGCTTCTAGAACCAGAACCGTCAGACACATCTGGAACATTATTAGGGTGTGGCTGTATATGTGCAAATTTTTCTGCACTCACACCCTAATACACCTAACCAAAATACACACAAACGCCCACCCACATCCTAAAGCACTGTAATNCAAAATGACATAAAAAAGTCAAGGATATGATGATCTATGATGGAGAAAACTGCTGCACATTTGTCGTGACCAGAAACCATCGTGACCGGTCGTGACCAAAACTGGTCACGACGAATGGGCCGCAGTTTTCTCCACCATAGATCATTATATCCTCGACTTTTTTGTGTCATTTTGAAGAGCATAAAATTCTGAGTAGAAAACATCAAACAGAACTATTTTTTTCACATCCACCGTGGAAACTATTATCGAATAATTTTCTTTTTTTTGGTCACGACGGAATGGTCACGCAGATCTCTACTGTCGACATCTACTGGGTAAGTTAGTTTCATGAATATAATGCATTCAACCTTCAATAACGGACAGAAAGTTTCAACATATTAGATTTTTTAAATGCCATCATCAAATTCTTCTTGTTCTTCTTTTTTTGATACATTTTTGTTCTTATCTGTACACTCAGTAGTCCGTATGAAACTACAATATAAAAGCAAAAATTCATTTTGTAAAAATAATTATTGTTATTTTTATTTAGTATTCCTGACTTTCGATCAGGAATGAATACCATTTTACTAACCGGACCTGGTTTATGGGAACTTCGAGATCATCTCGGTGCAAAACGTTCACCAACTGCTCGAACTACAACATGAACAAAAGCTATTCTATCTGATACTCATATGGCTCTTGTTGAATTAGCACGCCGAAATCTTTTACATTTTGTTGTTTCACAAAATACAGATGGTTTACATTTACGATCTGGGTTACCATCTATTACGTTAGCTGAACTTCATGGAAATTCAAATTTAGAAACATGTCAAAAATGTCATACAAAATATGTAAGTGATTTTCGTACACGTACTGCTGCTGCAGTACATGATCATGCTACAAATCGAAAATGTGCTCAATGTGGTTCAACACTTTATGATTCAATTATTAATTTTGGTGACAGTTTACCTAAACATGAACTAGAAACAAGTTTTGATCATGCAAAGCAAGCTGATGTTTGACTTGTCTTAGAATCATCATTACGTGCAACACCTGCAGCTCATATTTCAATGATAGTTGCTCAATACGGTGGAAAATTAGCCATTGGTAATTTACAATCAACTCCATTAGCTTCATTAGCTAAATTAAATATTCATGCAATGTGTGATGATCTAATGCGAAAATTAATGGAAAAATTAAATATTCCCATACCTGAACGGGAACTTCATCGACGAATACGTACTACCATTAAACAACAAACTGTTTCAATAATAGGTTTCGATCTTAATCAAGATATTGCTTATACACTTTTTTCAACAGTAAGAATACTTGTGAAACAAGACACTCAAACAATTTATAACTCAAAATTAATCGAAGGTGAAGAACCAATTGAACATAAAATAAACATAAATCAGCCAAATGAGAATATGAATTTATATATTGAATTAAATTGGCAAGGACATTATAATGAACCAACGTATACAATCAAAATACCTTTTGTCGATTCAATAAAAGAAATACACTTATTTTATAATCCTAAAACTGGCTATTGAAGAGAAGAGTAATAGATTTGCAATTTGATTTTTGTATTTAAAATACACTGTTTTTTTGTTATGAATGTAATTTCGCAATATAAAATTGTTTGTTTTATATTGAAAATCGAGCTTTTATATTTTTTTTATTAAATACAAATTATTTTTAAATGAACATTTATAAGTAAAAAGTTTTTCTTATATTTCTAGATCGACTTATTTTATTTATTCATTTTCTTTTTTGTTTCGATATATATTCTTTTTCAAAACAAAACCCCAAAACCTCCGTTTAGGAGGAAAAATACATATTAATTGATATTAAAATGGGATCTAACTCATCACAACCACCAGCAGAATTAAGTGAAGAAGATATAGAATTTATTTCAAGTAAAGCTAAAATTGATAACGACAGTGTTCGAGTTTGGTATGAAAAACTTAAGGTTTGTTTTGTTTTTATTTTGATTTATTCATTTTTAATGAATTTCAATATTTAGGCTGCTTGTCCAAATGGAAAAATTTCTAAGGCAGATACAGTGAGCTTCTTAAGAAGTATTAATAGTGGTAAAGAAGAACAAATTGAAAAACAAGCAACTGATATTCATAAGGCATTTGACGCAAATAATGATGGCATTGTTGGTATGTGTTAAGTTTACATTGAATAAGAAGGAGTTTTGATAACTAATGAAACCGGCCCCCTAAAGAAATATGATTTCTGTCATGTCAAACTCTCACTCCAGGTATCTGAAAGTAATCCTGGGTAGAATTAAACCTAAACAAATTTGTTTGTTCTTTGTCGTGGTCAATTGAAATAAGTCAAGGACTGTCGTCGTACGTATTGTATAAAAATATCTCGAAAAAAAAAACACTGTCCGATATAACTTTACATAAAGAACATTGTTTTAATATGATCTAATTTTCGAGTATTGTCCAGATTGTTCAGTGAAATGGGGTGCTAACACCATCGAATATTATCACCTGCACGTCTAGTTTTTATATGATTTGATAATACTTTTTGAACGCTTCAAAATACTATGAAAATTTTCGAGGTAAGGACTCTGACCATACAAAGGCATCCCATGAAGTCTATTCTTGAGACATCATTGAATGATTTTTTTCCTACAAACTAATTTAATATTTTGAATCAGCATCCAAAATTGAGTAGAATTATGCATATTTCAAAAACTTTCAAAACTTTTGTTTTCATCAAAAACTTTACCTCGGGTCCTCCTCAACGTTGGATAAAAATAATGAATTTTTCATGCAATTCATGTTTTGATCTAACCATGAGGAGGATCAGAGGTGAATTTTTCGATGAATAACAAAAGGTCTCGAAAGTTTTTGAAATATGCATAATTCCACTTCATTTTGGATGCTGATACAGAATATCATGTTAGTTTTTAGTCAAATCGTTTTTTCTGACCAAAATTTATTAATTATCAGGCAAAGAAAAATCATAACATTATGTCTCCAGAATAGTCTCCTTAGGATTTTGTTTGGGTGATCAGCGTTTTTTCTTTGATATTTTTATATCGTTTGAAAAGTGCTACCGAACTATATGAAAATAGGATGGTCGCTTATAAGATGATGATAGATAAAAAGTGCTGATTATCACCGACAGTCGGCTTCAATGTACATAAGCAACGGGCATTGACTATTTTAATCGATCTCTGGACAACACAGATAAATTCTATCTGACTAATGCTATTAGAACACACTGCCGAAAACCTTGTGTGATAGTTAAGCATAGAAGAAATGAAATTTCTCGAGATGGCTATTTTCAACAGTGATCGATTTTCTCCTTTGTTCTTGTTTTGAAGTACGATCGAAAAGAAGTGTTGAAGTACATAGGGTAGAAATTTGGTCTTATTCTCGCCCATAGACAGTGACAGATATTCTAGCAACCAATCACATACCTTGATGAGTACCTTGACAATTCTTTCTTTGAGGGTACGAATACTAGCTATGTCGTGTTTCACTTTTTAATCCCACAAGGATTGCACTAACAGTTTTTTTTCTTATATTGATCTATTAGATCAGCGTGAATTTTTAATTGGTTTTGCATTAACTTCTAATGGTAGCATACGTGAGAAGCTTAAATATGTTTTTCGAACGTATGATCATGATAAAGATGGTTATATTAATAAAAAAGAAATTGATCGAATGGTTAAAGTTAGTAAAAATTCGTTTTGTTTGTTTGTTTATTTGATTTGATTTGATTTGATTATAGATTGCAATGAGACTTCATGCAAAAGATGATCCTGAAAATACTTCACGTATTATTGACGAATTAAAACGATCACTTGAACATCTTAATCAAGGCAAAGATCTCGATGATTTAAAAATAACTTCAAAAGAATTTATTCAGTTATTAATGGAAAATAAAGAACTATGCGAATTAGTATCACCGTTTAATATTGAACAACCACGAGAGGTCATTGTTCAACAACCACATGCTCAGTCAAAATAGAATAAAAATATAAGAGTGATATCCAATTAAACTGTAAAAACAATTCTGATATATATACATATATATATATATATTTACTTTAACTCTTTTTTCTATTTGTCTTCTATTAACAATAACCATATGAGTGATCACGTTTCCTGTACTCCCCGTCTTTTGATATATGCATTTCTGTGTGTATGTGTTGTGTTTTTCAGTCGAATTTCCTTTATATTCTTACACATTCTGTTCGCAATGATAAGCAAAGGTAATTTTATCTTGTGAATAAACATTTTATGAAAAAAACGAGCAGCATATTTATATTCCAGCGGTATGAAAAAACTGATGTAACATAATGTTTTGAAGAGATTTTCACATTGATTTTTATGTATCTTTATTTGAATTAACAAAATTGAACAAGTATGAAAATGAAAATAAAAAATATCAAAATATAAAATAGATTATTTAAATTAATAAGAACATAGTTAATTGCAGTATTTTAAATTGATAATTATTATGATTTGAAGTCAATCAATATATAATTTGAAATAAAAGAAAACTTGATGTAATCAACGAATAGCTACTTTTTAATTTAAATACAGAGATATTTTGAGATCATTCAAATGAGAAGTATCACTTTTTCGACTAGCTCCCGCTCGGGACAATCATATTTAAGCTCCACACCGCCACTTCTGTTGAAAACTATTTTCGCCCCAGAACAACTAGTCTAGCTGAAAATTTCCAATAAATATGGGTGAGGAACTAGGAAACTTACAGTAAAAATTTCAGTTTAAAATATTGAGTTGCTCAAGATTTATCGCTATATGAAGGGTCAACAAGTATGTATCCGTATCTCCCGTTTTCTTCTCTAAAATCTAATGATAAAGATCTCGATTTAGCGTTAAAAAGTAGTCAACACACTTGCCAATACACCTCATCAGAGCCCGACTTTTTAAATTCTTCTTTATCAATTTTAGGCGTTGGTTTTTTTTGAAAAACTCGAAAAAATAAGAAAAGTCCTGTGGAAAAAAATCTATTTTTCTCACAAACTAAGTCAACAATAAAATATTCCGCTCTGTTTAGTTGTAAAGCGCCATTTTATCTTCAATTTAAAACCTTTCTGAAATTCTTAACATGTAAAATGACTGAGAAATCTGGCATGTACAAGCAGAAAAAAACTAAAATATTCGTTTTGAGAAAAACATCAAACAAGATTTGCAGTTGAAAATCAATGTTTCTGTTTAATAAAACGGTTGCGAAATCACATTGATCGTAGTCTACCATGTGTTATTAGTTATGGCCGATCAAGCATAAACTTGCGCAGACTTTTACAGCGTCTAAAAATTTGAATCTAGAACAGAAAAAAATCTGAGATGTGGGCGTGATTATTCATGTCATCCATCCACAGCCAGCTCTACTTATTCACACCCACACCAACAGCACCAAATGGTTGAATAGACAAAACATGAGAAGAAGAAAGAAATGGTTACTAATGTAAAATGATGACGCACAAGAAAGAGAAGAAAATGCATAATTATACCAGAAGGCATTTCTTCTGACATAACAGTGTCAAAATAAATACATATTTAAATTAATATTGGTAGGCAAAAAATACAGGGCACTACGTCACTTTTTCGAAGGCTTGCAGCGCTTCCTAATTGTTTCACACATTTTCCCTAGATTCTTCACTATGGGAAATTTTAGAATGAGTTCAAAAGGCAAAAATAACTAATATTTTCAAAAAAAAAACATTTTTTTTCTGATTTCGACATCATCAATGAATCCTGTCTAAAACCGTGAAAAAACAACATTAGAGTTCCAATAAATCATACTGATTTTGAAAGTAGACAATCATGTAAAAATCTCAAAAACATTGTTTTCTCAGAAAAATTGCGATCTTCGACGGAGGGAGGGAAGCTTAAACATAAAAAAATTATGATTTCTTCGAAATCATCACTTCATTTATTTTGAGCAGGTACTTATTCTCTGATAATCAAAGAACTTATCACACCAAGAAAAATCTAGAGCAGATTTGAAATCGAACCCGCTGTTTGCTACTGTTTTTTTTTTATCAAATTTTGGGATACTGAAGCTGGTCTATTTTGCTCGTCGTCATTGATTTTCATAGCTTGAGCGATCTAGAAACATGAGCCTAAAAATCTCCAACTCACGAATTTCGAGTCATAATCAAAACACCAACTTTCAGTATTGATCTCACAGATTCTTATCATTTGACAAGAGCCTCGGATTATGTTGAATGGATGTATTATGGTCACGAGAAGTTAGCCATTCGTCACGAGTTGAATTCTGTCTAAAGTACAGATTTTCCACCACCATAATTTCAGGCTCATTTTCTGGGCTATTTCTAACCGATCATCAGAAACTCTTAATGGTTAGTAGTTTCCAGTTCATACCTTTCTATGCAAAAATATCAGAAAAAATTCTGTTTTATTGAGAAAGTGATCCCAACTAGAGATGTAACGCTGACGATCATATTACGGTAACTGTAGGTACGGTTATCGATCCAGGCTGGTTTTCACTAAAGAAAGGCTTTTTTAAGAAAATAATGATCTTCTATAAAGGCTGACGAAAGTAAATTGGGGTTGAATAATCTGAATCTGAAATCGGTTTTTCGAAGTTTTGAGTTCCATGTTTCAGCATAAAATGTTTTCTTCAGGAAAAAAGTAATTTTTCATGCAAAAAGTTTTCAAGAAAAAACACGATTTTTAGAAAGAGATTTATTCATGGGAAATCCGTACTTAAAATTTCGAGAATCTGATTTCAGATTCGAATTCTCCAATCTCGATTTTATTTCGTCAACCTTTATAAAAAAAAATCATTATTTTCTTAAAAGAACCCTTTGTTTCGTGAAAACCGGCTTGAATTGATAACCATACCTACGGTTATTGTCACCGTTGCATCCCTAATGCCGACTACTATAATTATGTAACTGTGAAAATATCAAGGTATTAAGTAACTTAATATATGAAGCCTAGTATAAATTCGTACTTTAAAGGTCATGCTATCTTCTCATCATCTGCAGTAGCTTTTCAAGAGTCGACAAACCTTCAAGTTGTGTTAAACAATGATTTCAAATAAGAATAGGTCAAACTGATTAATTCTTGTAAAGAAACCATAATATTAATAGAGAAACTTAAGCAAAACAAAGCACAGAGATTATTTAATATCAGTTGTTGAGAGTTACTACTTTGAAAATTTTTGAGAGAGTTTTCCATCATTTTTAGTATTTGTGTATATACAACATAACAGATTAAAGTAGAAGTTGTTACTATTGTGAACTTTCGGAGTGACATGACTTTGGCATTGTATGTTTTCTCGGAACTCCAATAATAATTTTTTCTTGAAAGAATCAGTTATTTAATCGATATATTAGCCCTTTACTCTTACTCCTTTAGTCACTAGACTGACCATTTATAGAACGACTGCAGACAATAATGAAAAACTTTTAAAACATGTCTTGTAGTGAAAACTTGGTAAGTTTGAAAAACTCGCAAAGATTAGCATTTGTTAAATAAAATGTTTTTCTGCCAACAAACAAGACATATGATGGAAATGTATTATGTAATGCGTACCGCTGGTATCAATACCATTCGAAAGTTTCACAAATGCTACGTAGAAAACATATGATGAAACTTGAAATAGCCACTATGGATTTGTGAGTAAAGTAATCTTTAGTTTTTCAGCGCCTACAATTTGGTCGTAAAATTTGCTGATGTCACACGAAATAATAGAGCAAATCATTCTCTAAAAAATTAGATGTTTCCGAGCTATCTATGGCGATTTTTTGTCGAACTACATCAGATTTGCGGATGGCATCAGATAGAATTTGTGTCCAGCTGTTCGCCTCCAATGGTCACTAGAATGCGCCTGATTTATCTGTTCATGCTATCAATATGTCGGAGGCATTCATTTTCTATTCCAATGGTTGTATTCTGTGTGACTCTTATGAAATCGACATCAAGATGAAAGGATTAATCAGACGGAATTTTGATCAGTTCGGTCCGGTGGAAAAAATTCTCCCGGTTTCAGCCCTGATCTAGAAAGGTTTTCTTTGTATTTTGTATATCTTTGAACAAAAAAAGGTTGCAGACTTCCATGCATTCTCCTTGTCACATTGAACTATAATAACCTCGAATAGAAATAATACTTTTCATCAAAATAAATACTTTAAAATAGACATTAAATCTCATATGGGAAAAATTAAATATTTAAAACTCTTTTTCCATTCATTTCCATTTCATTGAAACTATTTATAGTCAAAATACAAAGTCAAATAATGTCCGAGAATTAAAGTATTTATTTCTTATAAATTTTCTGAATACCCACGTGTTTAATTTCAGAACAGTTGATGACATATGTTGTATGTCTTATTCTAATTCTTTCAAAATGTTTTTAGTGAAATATCGTTACATATCAAATTATTTCTTATCGTTTACTGCATCAATCAAATTCATAAAAATCAAACGAACGCAATAATAAAATGTTACAGACAATGACCTTCATTTTATACTTCATGTCTCATATTAAGTATAAATAACACATCAAAATAAGACGATTGTCTATATTTGTGGAATAATACACAAGAAAGTAATTCAATTGTCATTAGCACCTCGACGCATTCGACATCGATAGCATAATAATGTGCCATCTGTTAATGGACAGCAACCGCCTAAAAGAGCTATCGTCTGCTCATCACTCAAACTAGATTGACAATCCTACAATAAAAGATAAATAGAAATACTATAAAAATAATTTCCACTCAATAATACTTCACATCGATAACATTCAACATGAAAATTTTTATTCATAGCAATAACACGAATGGTTTCATAAGAACCCTGTTAAATAAAAAAAAAAAGCAAATCTTCTTTTCTTTCGTTTTCTCAAGAATTTTTCTCTTACGTCTTCTGGACAAATCGGATAAGCACACTTAGCACATCTGGGAGCATAAGTACTAAAAAAATTCAGTAAGAAAAAATCAAAAACTTAATGAAAAAGAAAACATAAAGTCAATTCTTACTTATGATAGTCATATAAACAAAGTATACGTCGTTCTTTATCGACCGTAAATGGAAGACCATCAAGACATTCATTACATGTTGAACAACGAAAACAACCAGGATGATATGAATTACCAAGTGCTTGAAGTATCTTGATGAAAAAAAAAGAAAACATTGAAATCAAAAAGTTCTTTTATTATATAACTAATAAAATACTTTATCCATAATAAGATGATCACAAATATAACATTTCTCTACCTTTTGTTGATAGCCAGTAAACTAAAAATAAAAATTTTATGTTTAAAAAATTTCTTTTTTCTTTATTTTCGACTAAGCACATCATAAGTACAAGAATCATTTTATTCTCAAAGTACTTTTTATGAATATATATATATCAGCAAAAATAAAATCTACCATCAGAAAAGCATATATAATTATATACATTATTTATCTGTACCTACCAAATAATCTTCTTCACAGTACACTTGATCATGTATACGATAAAATGCTTTGCCTCTTAATATTCGAGCACATACAACACATTTAAAACAGTTATTATGATAAAGTTCACCCATAGCTTGACAAGCATCAGACGAATCAGTTACTGGTTGACCACATTTTGTGCATTGACCATAATATTCATCTACAGTTGCATCACTTTCTAATTCTTTTTCTAAACGTAATGTAAGTGCAGCTAATTTTTGTTGAACATTAATCAAAGGACTATTAGTACGAGTTATTGGCACCATTGTACTAAATGGTATTGGTGTTCGAGAAGGACGTATATTAGGTTTTTGAATGTTTATATGAGAAAAATCCTGTGTTCTATAAGAATGCTGTTGCTGATGATGTGCATGCGAATCACCATTGACTGTTAATTGAAATCGAGGTTTTGGTAGATGTAAAATGGATTTTTGTTGATTCATGTAAAATCTATTGGAATTATGAAAGGAATTTGGTGACGATGCAGATTGATCTTGTTTTCCATTTAGTGGAACGTAATTCATATCAGGTTATTAATCGAAATTAATAATAATAATGCACGATTTATAAGTAATAAAATCAAAATGAATATCTGAATTTAGATTTTGATAAAAACTCAATATTTTACGTTTACAGCCAATTTTGATGGTTAATAATGGCTATTTCTTAAGAGCAGTACCATTTAATAGGCGTGGATACATAACTGTATGTCTGCGTGAGAATGCCGAAACGACCGACTTAAGCCAATTTTTTCTTCGCTCTCTCTATCTCTCTCATTCTATCAGCACATCCAGGTCTATCGTATATCGTTGATCATCCAGGAGAAAGAAAAAATATAGTTAGTACTCCTACTATTATTCTGCAGGCGTCATAACCTCTCAACATAAGTAAATCTTTGTCCATATCTATAGATAATTGTAGTAACGACTGATCTTTTTTCTTTCTAGTTCTTTTCTTTTCTTTTCTTTTCTTCATATACTACTCTACAATTGTTGTTAATTCATGATTGATTGTCTCCTTGTCTCTCGTGGAATGAAAAAAATCCTTGACTATGGAATAGTTGTTTTACATATTTGGATGGAAAGGAAACAAACAAAGATTAATTTTCTTGCCGTTGTACATGTAACAATTAGTTAATAGCATCATTTTGTAGATTCCATATATAATTTAGAATAAAATTTTATATATGAAAAGTTCGATGAAATATTTTGTTTCAATATTCATTTTGCCTTATTGTAAACAATAATTTGTTTATATTTAATTAAATCTTTTTTTTGGTGATACAAGTACAAATTTAAACATGATTACTGAATATAAAATTGCAAGATTTTATTTATTATCGCTTTATTTAATAATTAGAAGAAGAAACATGATATTAGTTAAGAATAAAGCCAGATTTTTTTTTATGTATTATTGTTGAGTTTTTACGTCTCATAATGAATTTCTTTTGAAGACGTTTAGGATTGACCGGACCACTGTCATTACACGCCTGAGAAGAATCGTCTGTTCGAACGAACTGAACTTCACATATACCTAAAACTACTTCACAACCTGCTGGAGGAATATTCGGACCAGCTTGTATTCCGAATCTACATGATACATTAAGATCAAATAGAAAATATTACGATATATTACAAACATTATGACATACCCACAGCATTCTAACCCGTAGTCAGCACATTGACAATGAAGACAATCAGGAAATGGTGAAGTCCAATTAGTATTAATTGCATATTTCTTACCGAAATATTCACAATATTTATCGATTATCTGATTGCCTAACAATGCGAATAAACTCTACATATTTCTGAGATGAAAATTTTGTTTGAAAATTACCCGAACTATTATTTGATGATGATGACTTAAGTAAATCAAAATAACAGGATCCATATACTTGAGAAATAAAAAGAAATAAGACAACTACCAGTCGATAAGCAAAAAGAGTCATGTCAATAAATGAATGGAATTTGTTAGGAATGATTTATTACGAGTACAGTCAACTGTCTTATTTATATCGTTTTTTTTATTTGGAAACAATGGATATTGGCAACATATGGTACCTACGTAACGATTGTTTATATTTTGTTGTTTGTAATCAGATATTCTAAGGACAGCTGTTATCTTTATGCATTTGAATTCATTATTTGAGAATACAATAGAAAAAATTATAATTCACTTTGCAAAAATAATCAAATCATAAAAAAACGAAAGTTGAACATATATTATGTACATTTTTATTCTTTTGTATATTCGATTCTATATCGTACTTAGTTAGTAATACGACCATTCTATTATCTGTATTTCGCTCGTATATCTCCACAAACCTTGAAAACATCTGAGAAATCTGAATCTATAACATCTTTTGTCCTACTGATCGAGATTTGTCTACTTTGAAAGTTTCATAATTTTTCGTCGAGCAGTTTCCGAAAAGTTCTTGAAATGAGGATGGCTTCACCTTAAGAAGTTGGAATCATCAATAAAAATTTGCTCTTGTCTGATAAATTAGATATTAATAAATTAAAAAAAAGAAAATACTACCTATTTTGAATTGATCGATTCAAACAAGAATATCTAACTATTGAATATGATTCCAACTCTAAATATCTCATTGTATCATTCAAATCTGCCAATGTATTCTTGTGTATTATTTATTCTATTCGAAATTTAGGGTGTACCTAATTTTATTTAAAAGTTAGAGAAAGGAGAAACATGGTTCAGTAAAAAATGACAAGAAAGGTACAGAACGTAATTGAAAAAAATACAAAATAGAGAATACGACAATAGAGTTAGTACGGGCTTCAACATAACAGCAAGAAAACAAAAGTAATAGGTGCTATTTACCAAAGTGAAACTAAAAAAAGACTGGCATGCTATAAATACTATATAATAACGGATTTATGCACAAAGTAGACATACGTCCACGTATCCTTAAGTTCTTTTCGGTTAGAATGTCCGATGGGCGAATTTGTCTTATAAATAGCGAGTCCTTGCCTACAATACTCAAGTGATTTGTCAGATTTCTTCAAATTTTCATAGAAAATTTGAAGATTGTTCAAAGTTCTCTCAATAGAAAAAATGATCTGTTGATAAACATTGTTGTGTAATTACCAGTGATTTTTTCAAATAATTTAGTGCACGAGCATATCCACAGTCACAGTAGCCAATCAATACATATGCAATCAATTCCATGCTATGAGCGATATCTGCATGAGTAGAAGTATAATATTTATCTCATATTTTGAGTGCTTACTGAAAGAATTCGAGAGGTGTATCAAACTTTCATTAATAATATAAAAAATCAGCAATACTATTGGTTGCACTAGTTAAATGTATGATCTGCAGTTGGTTGGCTTTCCTCATTCGATGATAGTTTCGATCAAAATATTATTTTCGTACCTCACTTCATTCCTTTTTATAAAGAAGTGCTAGACGAACCTTATATTTAACTTAAGCAAGATCTTCATTATTTAGATCATCGAGCATTTCTTCCAAATATTTTTATAATTTATGATACTATAAGTCATAAAGATTTGTCATTTCATTTCTAAGGAATGTATTTCGATGATGAGCAAAAGTTCAATGAAAATTATGGTTGTTTTTATTTGAATACTTTAGAATTCATAATATTTACTTTTTCAGATGCTGTTCAGAAATGATTACCTTTGGTTTCGAATCAAAATTCTTTGTTATTTCTGAATATTTATTCTAGGATCAAGCTTTTTTGTCATGGTCATTTGATTTATTGCCACAATGCAAACTAGAATTACTTTTCATCAGAAATATTATTTAACATAGATTTAAGCAGAAAATAAAGAACAATAAATGTTTGTCTACCGGTGAATTTTAGGTTTTGGGGATTTCAAATGGGAAAATATTTCATTTGAACTATTTTTGATAGATCTTGGAAAGCTTTTAAATTTAAACAAAATTACATCTAGAAGAATTAGTTTTTTGAAAAAGCATACAAACCTGATTTGGAAGTGTTCTTCATTGTTCTCATTCAATAGGTGTTTCATGAATGATACTCCTGGTCAGGTTGTGCGATGAGCCACAAAGAACAATTAATTTGTTCCTTATGGTTGTTATTGAGACGAATTCTGCGTGTGCTCATAAAAAACGATCACGATATTAGCAGAGGTAACGATGTTGGAAACACCACTATTGATGATCGAAATCATTCAAAGATTCTTTTGAGTGCAACGCGCAGAATCTTTGGAAGTTTCGATAAAGGATATGTTCTTGATTGATTGTTGTTTGTCATGTTCTTCTCTAATGCCATTAGAGGTCTCCAGCATAAGTGACATGGATTCTAATATTGATACGGAAAACATTTAATTACGTTTCATATTGATCATAAGTGTGACATTTCTTTTTTTTTAATTCTTCTTACCGATAGTATTTCAAGTGACTTTTAAAAAAAGTTGCACTGTTTTCGGTTTTATCACAACGAATACTAAACTGCTTGAACACTTCTTGAAGCCATTAAAAACTACTTCAATAAGGTTTTCGCCGAGTGTGAAACATCTCGAGATACACATTGATAACATATGTGATCGACAGCACACTGTAACAGAACTTTTGTCTCTACGTTCTCTATGATTAAATGCGTTCAACTTTCCACAATGATCCTCTTTCGCTCTTTTATGTAAAGACGTACAAAGAACAGTTTTATTGTTTGTTCTTTCTATATGTCACTCTCGATTGCACAATTAGAATCGAGGGTATGGGTGTTATCCATTCACTTACACACAAGTTCACACACATCCACACTCACACACACACTCGTCGAAAACAATGACTTCACAAAAATGTTGTTCTAATTTTGTAAGAACATTACTTTTGTGAATTTTCTAAGCAGACTTCGATTTTTACATATAAGTATATGATTGATTGATCACTTGCAGTATAATTAAAGACCGTAGGTCATTGCTCAATCAAACGGAAGTGAATCATGAGACGCTGATAATGTGTCATGTAAACGTTGGCATTGACTTAATACTATCGAAACGACAAGTCTGTTTATCAAGTGGAAAGAAATTTCTTCCCCGTAGATGCGAGTGATACATTTCATTTAATATATTTTTTCCAATCATAAATAATAGTACGAGGTACTGATATAGAAATACTCAGCGTCAGTAACACTATTTGCTTGTTTCGCCTTTCTGTTTGCTTCTAGAACGGTTTCATTCATAGTTATGGACGCCGAAGCTGATTGGATTTTCTTAGACAACCAAGATGAATTTGTTATTGAACCGACAACATCTACAATCGTTCATAAACCAACAAAAAAGACAATGATATAACTACTAAACTTAGCTATGCCGTTCTTTTACTGAGAAGCGCTAACGAAAATTATCATCCATCACGGTCAGGTGTGCTGATTATAGAAAAAGAAAGAAAAGCCTATTGACAAACGGAATGATAATTGGAAGCTGTTGGTGTCATGTCTAGAACTAAAACCTGGCAGCAAATTCCGTAATTCTCGTCATAAAGTAGTTGAAAATAAAGTTCATAGAGATCGGAATAGATCATTATCGCCATCAAGAAAGATTGATAACTCACAGAATACTGGCTGCACCTTCGATAATCCAAGGATAGCAAGTCGTGTTGCATATACACGAGATGTACGTGCACAGTTATCAAAAGAAGTTTGCAGAAACTATGACTAATCATTTATAATACATGCTGGAATGAGTTATGTCGACACTAGAGAACTACGACTTTTGATATGTTATTTCCGTATCCAATATTAACTGATTCATAATAAAGATTAATGTTCTATGTAAACCATTTTGTTGTCAGAGATTTTCCACTGGTAGTAAGTCAATACCACGAAAGCACTAGCACACACCCTCATCAAGAGTACTGAGAAGAATATCGTTAGTTATACATAAACTATATTCTTCTTTTAATTCTTTACTCTCAACAATCACTACATTCAGTACACGTGAAATAGGTCCTGCGATTTTTTTTTACATTGATCTATGTGAATATCAAATATATCGCTTTAAATTTGTTGAATAGAATCGTGTTCCGGATAGTCTTTATTAACAAGCATTACGTAGGAGAATTTTCATCTTCTTGAAGAATATAATAAGAAAGTCATTGTAATCTCATTGTGTTTGATTCAGAAGTGACTCTTGATTCTTTTGTGTACATTTACTTAGCTAATTATCTTTTTGAATATCATTTCATATTTATTGGATCAAATATCGTGTCTGTTCAATGAGTAAGTCTTAAACTGCTGCACCGAAAGATAATTGTGTTCTATTCAGCTTCGGGTTTGCCGTTACTCAGTTCGAACAACGTAAATAGAAAAGTTTCATACATTGTATTATATGAACAGCTTCAATTAGGCATTCAAGCATATTCTTCATTGTTTTTTATTCATATTTGTTTTTTTGGTGAAACCTACTCAACTTGCACTTCTTTCTTTTATGTTTCTACATCATCACTATACTTAACTTGGAATTTTTCTTTTATTATTTTGTTGGTTTTTTTCACGTTTTCAAATTTTTCAGATGAAAAAGTGTGATGATTCATATAAACTGATTCATCGTAAATCAATTATTTTAGAATTCCTTCTCATCCATCATTCAAACATTTTACAATAGTGAAAGAACAGAAATAAGATGTTCAATAGTTTCTTCTCAGAAATGATACAATCAAAACAAAAGAACTTCAGTAAACGATAACTTACGTTGATTGATTCTTCTAAACAAAAGAAGCTGTTAGCACGTAAAATATTTGTTTCTTACCCTTTTTCTCTAGAACTGTTTTTGACATTTTATCGGCTAAGTTTTTATATATTTGTATATTTTTTTCCCCTAAAGCTTAATACATACACTTCTATGCTATTAATTAGAGATATATATATACAACTTAACTAACTCTTAGTAGAACGGCCAGATAGTTATTTTTAGAGATGTGATAAATTTCTATTGTTATAATTTTTTTCTTTGGAATATTCTCTTTGTTTTTTTTTCATTTCATGTCTTGATTGTTCTGCATAAGTTTATACTATATGCATATATGCAGTACTATTTAAGCATAAATATTTCAAGTTGATAACTTACAATAATGTTAGATTTCATATTGATTAAAAGCCTTAGGAAAAAGTATGCAAATAAACAGAAATACCAGAGAGTACACTTCAGAGAACGTCACAGGACGCATGTCTTGTAGGAACCACGTTGTAGGTAACCCATTTTATCCTGCGCTGGTTGTGCATATGCTGGAAGAGGAGAATCTTTTTTTGGAACGCAGCAGCTGCAAGACACTCAAGCTACCTAATTTATCGTGATCCAATGAAGTTCTAGTCTATTAGAAAAATTTGTCGTGATTTTCCAATATTATTCGTAGTAATTAGAAGAGCAGATCCCCTACCAGCGGCTACTGATTCAGTAACAAGATTATTCAGCTCAGCTGGATTGATATTCACTCAAAGATGAACATATTTATTATCAAATCAAATTGATAATATATTATTTACTTGTTGATACGAGAAATTCAAGAAAAAGCAATAAAAAGAAAATTTATCCCATTGCCGTTATCCATTTGTTTACATTGATTATATTTTGTATCTTGCATCTTTATGTTTGCTTTATTGTTTGGTTCATTCGATGTAGGTCAAGTATTTTTTTTATTGTTCATTCCATTTCTGCTGGAAAACATGTGATTAGGATTAGTTAACAGATCTATATTGTAAATGATTTTTGTATAGATAGTACATCCATGATATTTGGCATCGTATCTCATTTACAGACAAACTTTTATTATTGTTATACATGTAGTCAAAAGATTGTCCTCTAGACCAGACGTAGGAGGGTATTTTGTACTGCAAGATGTGTTCTGTCCCGTAGAATACAGAGTAAGACGAAGAAAACTATCTTATAACATTCTTTGATACGCTTTGTTCCCATGGGGCGGAAATCTTTGACTATTTGTAAAAAAGAATTAAATACAAGTTGAGTCTTGCTTGTTCTTCTGATAATATGATTTACTATATACTCTTCGTTTAGTAAGTGAAATCGTTTTAAGTAGAATTAAATGATTTGCTATAAATGTATGTATTTATAAACAAGATAAAAAAAATCATTTTCAAAAAAATTGATGTCATATTTTCTTATTGAATAAACATTGAACCCCATTCATGCACAATAAGAAAATTTGATTGAGGATTATGATTTGTGCTGACCATTTTCTTCATTTCGTCACTTAGGTTTTCTATCGTTGATATTCTTGCTTGTTCATCATAGTTTAATTTATACAGAAAAAATGCTCGAATGATTTGATCAGGTTCTGGTCAAACACGTAGTGCAACTAAATTAAAATATTCATTTGGTGAGAAAAAACAAAAGACAATATTTTGTTCAATATGATTCGGTTCAATTTCATCAAGATGAGGTAAAATGTACTTAATCATATCATCACGATCTACTGATGAAAAAACATCTTTTTCAAAAGATAATTAAATACTCGTGGAAAATCAGTACAAGTTACACAAAGACCATTGTCAATATTGAATTGTGAATTATCAATAGTTAATACTTCCCAAAAAAGCATGCTATATTCGAATTTATCATCAATGGAAGGATAATGATGAAATTGAAAATCTAAAAGGATATAGATGTTTTGATTAATACATCATATTTTCAATAGACTCACGAAAATTCTGTGTGTGCTGTTGATTCACCATCAAACGACCATCTGGATATACTTCAATATTATTCCATTCAACAAATAAAATTTGATCAGTATTTGATGCTTCTGGATAGATACACGATAGGTTTCAAACCTTATCAAGATGTAAATGAACATTGATATTTGAAATTGGTTGGCCAGTTGTAGATCGAAGACGAATGACTAGTTTACCACATCCTTGTTTTAACACAAACTGAAATGTACTGTTATCACTAATATCAAATTCTGTCAATGTACGTTCATTTTCAAGTGGTTTTAATTGAAACACGGGTCGCTGAATATCTATAGGCAGACTATGTTTAAATTGCATTCGACATTTAACCATGCATACAGTTTCAGTCGAAGATGAATAAATCTTATAGGTTTGTCCAGTAACACTTTTAATGATGAATAATAAATTGGCAATATTGAAATATGTTGTTTGACATTAAGATGAATATCATTGATCTGTACATCAAGATAATCATATAATTCGAATATTGGATTTCTGTCAAGAGTTATGAGATATGACCAAAGAGCTTCTTCTTTCATAATAATTTTCATACTTACAAGTTGTAGAATCAATTTAGCTCCGATGACATATTGATTGACACTAGAAATATAAACGATTGATTACAAATGTAAGAATACAGAAACTCTATGTTGAAATTTACTATATATTAATGATTTGATTCTTAATGTGGACTGTAGTGACAAATAGTTTTGGCAATATTTGGTTTTTCGACCATGATTCAATACAAATATCATTTAATCGGAAGTCAGCTTGACATGAGCTTAGTTTTTTCATGTCAGTCTGAGTATCAATTACATTTTGTAAGAAACTATGATAATCAGGAACGTTCGTACCCATATTCCGTGATACAAATATGTCACTGCAACAATTTTAATACTGCTACAAACTTTATACTTCAAACATTTTTCTTTCTTATGTTGTACAATATTGTGCGATAGGGATGCAATAGCTCGAAGGTTACGAAATTAATCTTGACGCAATCTTTACAGACAAAGAAATTTTAATTTTTTAAGTATTTTCATATTATTTAATTTATGCTTATTGGAAGAACAATTTACGATGAACTCAATCAGAACATATTATTTTGATACATGGCTCTTAGAAAAGTTTATTTTGATTGATTTTATTAATCATTTATTGTTCAATGAAAAATATTGATTGTTCATATTCAATCTCAGTTAGAAATGCGCTAATAAGTATAGGATATTCATTTTATAATTTGTCACAAAATAAACTATTAAACTCACATATAAATTTACAAAATGATGAAAATGATTGACCAACTCCTACCTAGTTGAATGATGTGAGAACAGTTCGGGCCAGGAAACTCTAGAAAATAGTAGAAATTTAAGAGGATGAATACGGTGACCAAGATCCAGTGGTTGAATTTTCCTGCATCTGATCGGAAGCGACTAGAATTAAGGAGAACTGACTACCAGATACGATCATCTTATTTCTGCTTTCAAGTTCCTATCATTTTGTGGAATTTTTTTTGGTCCGAAACGAAGACTTTCTTCTTGCTGATTTCGATCAGAACCCCATGGAAACATTGACGTGGGCTTTTAAAAATTCACTCATCGTGTCTCTTGTTTCATTTTATTGATTTTCTTTTTGTTGTGAGATAAAATATTAGTCGTTGACATTTTCAAAAACCAAATTATATATCACTATAGGAGATAAATCATATTAAAGGATTGTTGTTATATTGTTGCACTATATACTCTTATAGAAGGATTATTTTTACATCATTCTACATTTTTATCCCTAGCTAAAACACATCTAAACTTTCATATGAGATACGTCTATCATCAGTTGAATGTGACAGTTTTGTCATATTTATTTATTTAATCTAAAGAGAGTCATTGATTACTCGAATAAAGTGAAAATGTTTTTATAAATATCGCTTTCAGGTACACGTGAACTAACTGAACTTTGACTATTACACTTATAATATCTTTTTTTAAGTTTTTACGTAATATTACCAGGTAAAATCAGCAGTGACAATCACAAAAAGTCTTATTGCATTTTTTATTCTAATGCTGTTTCAGTCAGCAGTCATTGAAGTTGCCAATACTACTAGTACGAAACACCAAGAACATGACAAACCTTTTCTTTTGTAAAAACATCGAGTTTTATTCAAGACAAAAGCTTTTCTACAGTGCTCTGAAAGCCAGTTGACTGTGATGAATGTGTAATCTATTCTATGACGACGAGAACTTCAGTGTAATTTATTCAAATTTTAACCATTTGAAACTGGCAAATGCAATCATCAATGATATCAATTCTATACAATGACTGAAAACTCTTGATATACATATTGCATGTGAATTATATTTTAAACTCATGACTATTGATCGTTTATCTTTTATAAAGATTACAGGACTAAATAAAAGCATGAAAGAGAACATTTTTAAAATTTGCTTCTGGTTATAAAAAAAAAGTCAATACCCTTCCTAACATACTTCAGAGATTATCCAAAATAAACTGATACGATAATTGTATTTATTAAAGACTAAAATTAGGTTAATTACAAAAGAGTGATGCAAAAACACCATGGTTTCGTAATAAAAAATTGTACTTACTGAAATATATTTTTCATACTTTCCTTTGGAAAATCAGTATATATATATGGGCGTGAGCAACCGACTTGGTACCCCATTTTGATACAGTCCTATTGTAAGGATAAAACATACTATTGTTCGGGTCATATAAGAGAGGATCCTAGATAACCCTGGATTGACCCGGACAACATCATGTTTTATCCGCACAATAGTTGTGAAAAGCTACGAGCTTACCGTATGAGTTGGTAGCTTTTCTCTACTATTGTACGGATAAAACATGATGTTGTTCGGGCCAATCCAGGGTTATCTAGGATTCTCTCTTATATGACCCGAACAATAGTATGTTTTATCCTTACAATAGGACTGTATCAAAATGGGGTACCAAGTCGGTTGCTCACGCCCATATATAGTATTAGTAAGAGTACTACCAATGGCATGAGCTATTCTATTTTAATTAGCAGTTAATGTTGAAAAACTGAGTTGATCATGAGTGAGATGTCCAGCAGGGGAATTGATTCCTCTTCCGTCTTTGACGGAGAAAAATACAGAGCGTCTCAGAAGCTAATCTAAAAATAATTCAAATATTTTTATGAAGTCTTCATTTTTAAGAAGAGGTATCAGTAGTCTTTGGAAATCTCATGCATAAGAAAGCACTCGAAAAAGCAATAATGCTCTTAAAACTATGGAAAGCATGGTGAAATTTGAATAACATTTCAAACCGTCCGATTTTGAATCATTTAATGCATTAACAAAAAAATCTTGAAAATGAAATCACAAACAGTTGAAAAACCATGACACAGACTTTATCTACATTGACATGGCTCACAACAATTAGCTATGTATTTCATGAGATCTCCATTAACGCTGTTGCTCGGACTATGTAAATTTTTCACAAAGGTATATAACTTCAGTGATTTAATCGATTTGTAGAAGAAAAGGTTCCTTAGAAATCTACACTTTTCAAATCATTTTTTATATCGCCTTTAATACATTTACAAGACCATAAACAAGTCTAACTGTCATTAGTAATACGATCAACACAATTATCCAACATTAATTATCGATTGAAATGGAAGATCTCATGCGGATTGTAGTACTCTTGCTAATACTATATTGAACAATTAATTAATTAAGCATCATTCAAAAAAATAAGTCTTTTGGGGCGTGGGTGGTTGAAAATTTTTGATGTAGGTCAAAAATTGTCGTTTACTCAAAGAAAAAAACTATGATTAGAAGCACTTTTTATGTCGAGTATAATTTATTCTATTGAATCATGTATCACAAAGAAAGTTTTAATCTAGCTACTATCTATATATTTATTCACACGAGAGAGTACTTACTTTCCCACATATATTTGCGGCACATTGTTGCATTACCCATACCAATTTGTGAACAATCTTTTAAAAAAATTGTATCATTATGAAATGGATCACGACATTTTCGATCAGGTTCTTTACATACATAACATTTAATTGATAAAACTAAAATCATAATAGATTAAAAAAAAAAAAAGATCAACGAAAAAAAGAGAAATTTCTATTATATACCTGATAAAACATAAAAAGCAAGAATAACAAATGAGCAATAAAATACCAGATATTTCATTTTAAAAAATATACAAAACAATTTATGTAAATAAAAAATTCTTCAACTCAATCAATTACTCGAGGTCAGATGAAAGAAAAAGGTTTTTAGTCATTCATTTGACAAAACAGAACAAAAAGTGATTGGATGATTTGTTCCATTTAATGAGTATCTAAAAAGAAGATGGCGTTATATGATTGTTGTTCTAAAAACGATTCTTTCATTACTTCACTGATGAGACTATAGTTCTAAACAAAAAAAATGAACTTAAGTCACTTGATTACAAAAGCCCAGTGATAATGAAGAAATTTAGAACTTTCATCATCGAGAGAATTAGATGTGAGACTACGTAAATGGAAATTTTCAGTTGTCTATTCTTTCATCCACAATCATATTGTTTTCAAAATATTCAATTTTCCTCCTACTCATTTTCAATGAACTGTTTCTGTTTTGAATAATTCAAATTATCATAGAACTGTGTTAGTCAAAGTACTAACATATATATATATAAATATTGAAGATGAATATAATTTTCAGTTTAGTTATGTTGTTTATAGTTTTTAATGTCTCTAGATTCCTAAATTATTTCTTAGCAGATAATGATTGTTTGAATAATAACTTCAATGATCGTCTACGTGTTGTGTTTAGTATTCTAAGCAGCATTGTGATTAATTCGGTACAATTAAATTGTAAAAAAAGACTTCTTTTCATCCTTTCATTTCTCCATATAGATCTAATAACGCTGACTGATGACAATGCATAAATAGCTAAATTTATAAAGAAATTTCTTTTCCGATAAAAAAGCATGCACCATTACCATGCGCTATTACATGATCTATTCAAAGCTTTGCACTTGTTGTAACCTAGAGAAAATTAAAGTAAAAACAAAAAAGAATATTGATATTTATAGCTGCTCAGACATTAGTTGTCTTTCACTTTTCAGCTATATTTATCGGAATTTTGAGAGTTCTATGTCGATCATTGTGCATAACAAGTCGATATTAATCGACATGAAGTGTATTAGAAATTATAAAGAATTAAGGCCAATGCAAACGAAAATTTATTTTTCTGATGTTTCTGCGCCTGGATTAAGCGCAGTTTTGTTTTTTCCAAATTTAAATGAGCACTAAGTAAATCATAAAACTTAACGAAAAGTTGGTTCGTAGGACCACTGATTCCGATTACATTCAAAAACAAAATCTTACAGAATTTCTTCTATTTTCACCGGATAGAACTAAAAGTTCTAAATTATTAAAAAGATACTAGAAAACAAAACAAAAAAGAAGCAATATCTTAAACGGTGAAATAATTTTTTTTTCCCAGAAGACATTGCCGGTGTTATTTCTTCATAATGCCATTTTTACAAGCACGAAACTCTGAACAAAATGTGAGAAATCGCCGCAATCACTATCTGGCTTTGAGCTATACCTGTTTGTTAAACACTTTTCTACCATCTTGTGTTCATTTCGAAAAAAAAGTTTAATAAATAATAATACAGTATTCTAGTGTCATCTTTCTTGATTTGTTCATTGAATAAAATGAATAGTCCAATCATATGATTTACTTTGCTATATAAACGAAAGAAAACGTTAAACCAATAGAAATTTTTCGATTGTCCTCGATCGAAATGTAAGTGTTAGCTTAAAGAGAAAAAGGAACATATTGAGTCATAATTGTCCTCTTAGGTATTTTTCATGATTTTGGTCAATTTGTTATATCATATAAGAGTTCAACTTCTTTTCGAATATTGATTGCTCACTTTTTTGTTTTACATAACTTTAATCGAACGATCAACGCATTCAAGCGTTCAATATTCGTTTCATCAAAATCAAATTAAACCTTACTCTTCTCCATCATAATAAAGACTAGACCATATATCTTGCATTCAATATGACCTTGTTTATTCTAGACTCACACACACACGAACATGTATCGTCAATTGTTTCGTCATATTACTTCTTTAACAATTAAACCAACAAATGGTTTATTTCAATCTATTATACGTAATACGCATAATATGAATCCATTGCCAATGATATCTAAACAAGCACCTGAATTTAAAGGTCAAGCTGTAATTAATGGTCATTTTAAAAATATTCAATTATCTGATTATAAAGGAAAATATGTTGTACTTTTTTTCTATCCATTGGATTTTACATTTGTTTGTCCAACAGAAATTATTGCATTCAATGAAAAATTAGACGAATTTCGTCGACTTGATACGGAAATTATTGGTTGTAGTACTGATTCAGTATATAGTCATCTTGGTAAGTTAATATATCAATAATGCATTAGAATAGAACAATGAATCAAGGCCTTCATTTAACATTGTACTCGAAAACAAGGTTAACCTTTTTTTACATTCATAAGCGTATACAGTTATGATAGAGCGATAATTCAAGTTGATTTGCCACAATGAAGATGTTCAAAAACCCTATTCGTGTTATTTGTTTGGCATACAGACAAGAAACAAATACTTAGTAGAACTAATTGACTGGCTACGAGGAAATAAAGTGGTGACATTTTTCTTCAGAGATTTCGGTTAGAGGGATACGTCAATGTACAGAACCTACTGATAAGAAATTATCGGAAACTGATAGAAACATATTCTGGCTTCTCTTGCGAAGGTTTTTTTCCAGCAGAGAAATACAGAGAATGAGTTGATACTATCATCAATAGATTCAAAACGTAGGCAATTTTTAATCCTAACTCTCCGGTTTTTACGTTCAAATGATCCATTCCATTGACAGTTTTAACCGATCATTATTAAAAATCAAAGAATGCCATTAATGTTAACTTTGAAAAAATTACAATTATAACAATCTACTTTTCTTTTCATGTACCAATGTATATTATATTAATTTAGCTTGGATTAATACACCGAGAAAACAAGGTGGTCTTGGTGGACTTAGATATCCTTTATTAAGTGATTTTTCAAAAGAAATAGCACAACGTTATGGTATTTTACTTGATGATAATGGTGGTATTGCATTACGTGGTTTGTTTATTATTGATAGAGAACAAAATTTAAGACAAATAACTATAAATGATTTACCAGTTGGTCGATCAGTTGATGAAGCTCTTCGTCTTATAAAAGCATTTCAATTTGTTGAAAAACATGGTGAAGTATGTCCAGCTGATTGGCACGAAAAGACAAATCCAAATACAATTAAACCTGATCCCGTAAAATCGAAAGAATATTTTGAAAAACAAGAATAAATTTTTCATAAAAACTATTTCTTTCTTTTTGTTTGGGTTTGTAAACACCGTTCGTTTTAGTTTGATGCTATTTTCTAGATATTTATTTTACTTTGTATGTTTTAAAAAAGACAAAATATAAATATGCAAGCTTACGGTCGTTATGATTTTAATGCAACGGCCAATGATGAACTTAGTTTTCAAAAAGGAGCTGTGCTAAAAGTATGTTTTTTTTTAATTTAATTTAATATGTATATGTAATATATATTGCTGTTAAATAGGTACTCAATATGGAAGAAGATATGAATTGGTATAAAGCTGAATTAAAAGGACAAGAAGGTTATGTACCAAAGACTTATATTGAAATGGATTCTCATCCGTAAGTGTACTTTTTAAATTTGTTCCGACAAATACTAAGAAACATGAAAAGATTGTTTCATCAATAAAGCTATGCTTTCAGTAGACTATATATGTTTCCTACACATAGAGATGATTTGTTGTTCATTTAGTTAGTGTTGAAGAAAAGACAAGTTATACCTGTTATTCATTTGAAAAACGAAGAACTATGGTTTTCATCCTTACAAAGAGAATCTTGAGACTTCTGATTTCCGACCATGAACCTGGCATCACCCACTCAGGTCCATTGACAGAAATCTACTTTTTCTATCTACCGATCATATTAAATATTAAGGTCGATTGAGAAATGTGTTCAGTACTGGCCAATCAATTTTCAGCACGTATGTATGTGTTCGAGCCCTCTCTTTATCAAGGTGAAAAATATAGCTTTCTATCTTGTCCTTATCAAAAGTTATTCAAACAATATTCACGGTTCTTCTATTTTGAAGATTTGCTTTTGAGACATTTTTCCTGTTTGCATAGTAGATTATGACGTTGATTTTATTGAATTCCTTTATGTCACATTTGTATATAAATGTAGTTTGATGATTAACATTTATTTGTGTTCTTAAATATTCTCTTTTCAATTTAGTTGGTTTCATGGTAGTATAACTCGTGTTGAAGCTGAAAAAATTCTTCTTCAAAAAGATCCAAATACTCAACGATATTACCAACTTGATGGTGCTTTTCTTGTGCGTATGTGTGAATCATCACCGGGTGATTTTTCACTTTCAGTCAAGTATGAATTCAACATTTTAATGATCATGTTAAAATCATGAAATTTTATTTAGATGCCAAGATCAGGTACAACATTTTAAAGTTTTACGTGATGGTATGGGTAAATATTTTCTATGGGTTGTTAAATTTGATTCCATCAATGAATTAATTAATTATCATCGTACAACTTCTGTTAATCGTGGACAAAATTTATTACTCAAAGATATGGTTTCAGAGCAAACATCATATGTAAATTGCATAAAATAATATATGACAAAGATTTTTAATTTCTTTTTCTTTTTAGAACCATAAGAATACTCAAAGAACAATACAAAATTTTCAACCACAACCACAACCGCCAGTTCCTTCTGCACCATCAAATGATGGTCAAACATATGTAGCTGCTTATGATTTTCAACCACAAGAAGAAGGCGAAATCGAATTGAGACGCGGTGATCGTATTCGAATGTTAGATCAAAGTGATGCGAATTGGTGGAAAGGCGAAGTTCGTGGTAATGTTGGTCTTTTTCCTGCAACTTATGTTCGACCTTTGTAAGCAATACGAACAGTGTTAATTTTCTTGACACAGACACATATATATGACTTTTCTTTTCACATGTGCTTATAAAATGCACGTGTTTTAGTTCAATTAGTACCTGTTACTTACAAAAATACTCGCGTGTGTTCGTGTAAATATATATATACATATATATATTTAGTCTATTTGTTAAATTGATGTCACTTGGCATTGTTTTCTCTTTCTAATGGAATAATTGATACAATTAATAGATTGGTGCTCTTGTTCATTGTTGTAGGAAGATAGGTTGCTATTGCTTCTGTTATATTGTTGTTGATGCTCTTCTTCTTCTATTCTTTTTTTTTGTCATCATCTTTTTTAGTGATGAAATAAATCAATATCATTCATTCGAAACCAAAGACGATATGTTTTTTTAGATTCTTTTGACGAATAACATTCAGTTCTAATTAATAATTGATATTATGATATATATCTCCGTAGCGTGACTTATGAAGTAGAGAAAAAAATATAGTGCAAGTTTATTTTTATGTTTTATGGAAAAATAAATAAAAAGCTTACGACACTCGGTATTCCCAGGCGGTCACCCATCCAAGTACTAACCGAGCCCGACGTTGCTTAACTTCAGTGATCGGACGAGAACTGGTGTATTCAACGTGGTATGGCCGNCCAATATTAAGTTTTTCTTTTGGACAACCTAATTCAACCCATACATTCATTGAACCTTTTATATTCCATTCACGAAATTTTTTTCTTTCATTACGCATTCCATATAATGGACTATTATGTCCAGTTTTACCTTCCCAACTGCCATGATAATCATCTAAATTAAGGGGAAAAAAAGAAAGCTTTTTATTAAAAGGAAAAGATCTTGTTATTAAATTACTTACAAGTCATTACAGATACAAAATCAAAATATCTGAGAGAAAAGCAAAATTTATAAAAATCTATTAAATATAACATCTTACTTGCAAACTTCTTCAACTTCATAACCAGCTTCAATTCGGTGTCGTGCTGCAGCTAAACGAATATTAATTACTTATTAGATTTTTTTTTATCAACTGTTTAAATACCTGTAGCACATGTTAGTAATAATTTTTCTTTTCCTGCTTGTTTAGCTTCTTGTTGAAACATTTGACTCAATTTCTATGTTGTATTATATTTCTAATAATGTTCATTTTACATATTTCTTTTACCTTGACTAATTTTGTATAACCAGTTTTAGAATGAGGTTCTGCACCTTGATCTTTTGCACCTGGGTATTCCTATTGAAATAAAATATTTTCAATTAAATTTAATAACAAGATCTTTTCCTTTTAATAAAAAGCTTTCTTTTTTTCCCCTTAATTTAGATGATTATCATGGCAGTTGGGAAGGTAAAACTGGACATAATAGTCCATTATATGGAATGCGTAATGAAAGAAAAAAATTTCGTGAATGGAATATAAAAGGTTCAATGAATGTATGGGTTGAATTAGGTTGTCCAAAAGAAAAACTTAATATTGGTCTCTCAGCTTATGGTCGGTTTCTTTTTTTTTCTCTATTCATGTCTTATACTTAATACAATGACTTACTTATTCAGGAAGAGCTTTTTCATTACTTCGAGATCCAGGTATAACGAATAGTAAACCAATGCGAAAGAAAAAAACATCCATTGGATTAAAAGCAGGTGCTGCTGAAGCTGGAAAATATACACGAGAAGCAGGTGTTCTTTCTTATTATGAAGTAAATTTGAATTTAGACAATTCGAATACATTTTATTTTATAATAAATAGATTTGTGAATCAATTCAAAAAAATCCAAATAATCGTGTATTTTGGCATCGTGAAATGAGTGTTCCATATGTATCAAGTGAAACATTATGGATTGGTTATGATAATATACGAAGTGTTATACTAAAAGTAGAAAAAAAAAGATTTATTTTATATCGAAAGGCTATTCATGTTTTTGAAATTAGATGCAATTTTTAAAAGAACATGGTTATGGTGGAGTCATTATCTGGTCATTAGATTTAGATGATAAAACAGGTGAAATTTGTAATGAAGGTCCATTTCCAATATTCAATGCAGCTAAAAATGAATTATTAATTGTACCTGACCATTTATCTAATATAAATAAAAAATGTCTTGACGATAATGACACATTATCAATTGAACAACTTTTTTCTCAGTCGACAACAATAAAAGGCATAAATCTAAGTAAGATTCAAGATTTTCTCAATTTTTATTAATTTTTTGTTTTATTTTCTAGGTTTTTTTCTTTATTTTTTACTTCATGTTATTATGTGTATTTGAATAAAAATTAAATAAATCTTAAATAATTATTGATCGATTGTAGATTTCTTTTTCTTTTTGTTTGTAGATGGATGAAATCAATAATCGTAATAATGAATATATTAAAACAGAACTTATTACAAAACTATTAAAACATTTTTTACCTGAAGATAAATCATCACGTTTATCAAGTGATATGGTGAAATATTTTACAGAATTAATATTTATGTTTATTCATCAAGCATTTACACGTACAATTCAACAAGCATCATCAGAAGGAACAATTCATGCTGATATTGAACATTTTGAAAAAATTCTTATGCAATTATTACTTGATTTTTGATAATTAGATGTCTTCCAAAAACTAAAAGAAAAATAATAAATAAAGATTAAAAAAATATATGTATATTTTTTGTGTATTTTAGATGTCTACAATAAATTCAAAACATTCATCAGGATCATTTAGTCAAAAATCATTATCAAATTCAAGTTTAGGTGATGGTCAAGTACTTTATTGTCTTTGTCGATCAAGTGATTGTTCAGTATTTATGATGTACGAAAAAAGAAAAATATTTTTCTAGAATGTATTAACACATGAGAATTTTTTAGTGCGTGTGATGCATGTAATATATGGTATCATGGTTCATGTATTGGAATTAGTGAAAAAGAATCAGCAAGAATAGAAAATTTCTTTTGTCATCAATGTCGTCGTAAGTAATCTTTAATTAATTAAATAATTCGTGTATAGTAAAGTCTCTCCATTGTGAACATCCTTAGAATTGATAAGAATCGTTCAGTATGACAGAACGATCTTTTTTCTAGAGAATGTCAAGGACAGAATAAACACAAACATCATTTTTACTACTTTCTATCCATTGTTTCCTTTTAAGTGTTCTTTGTTGTTTTTTTTCGTTTGAAATATTTCTTACTGTTTTCAATGCTTGAGATAGTTCGAACTAGATCAACTACAAATATAATATCCAGATAGACATCGATAAGATTTAATTGTAGTTGAGTATTCTAGTAATGAAAGATTTCGATGTTGACATATTTTACAATTGTTGAGTGATAAACCATTTCAATCTATTATCATTGATGGTTTGATTAACGTCGTCTTAAACATCATATTTTTTTCTTTTTTTTAAATGTATTTCTTTGTTTGCGTTTGATAATGTTTAATACAGTACCAATTGATTCTTGGAATTGCTGCCTTCATTCACGGTCGAACAAACCGTATCATTTTTCTTTTCATTAAAATTCATTGTTTGCTTTATAAATCAAACTCATTCTAGCTTGACAACAGATCAAAAGTGCTTATCGAAATGAGACTCTGCATCTATTCATTTAATTTTCATGGTATTCAATCATCAAACTAAGCGAAGTCATGAAAATGATCTCGAGAATTCCAATCATAGGATTTGTTTATATAGCGCCCTCTGTTGATATTCATATTGACAAGGTCAATGCGTACAGTTGCGACTAGAAAATGAATTTGCATTTAATATTAAAGACTAATCATATAAGACAGGTAGTGAATCGATCGCTAAAATGAAAAATTTTCCTCAAGAAACAAAAAATTTCTCAGAAATTCGTTCAACTGTCAAATTTAAAGTCAATTTCTTTATATAACATATGGTGCATAGTAAATGAAAAGAAGTAGTATTATTGGACTTTCTATTGGACTTAAATTAGAATGGCTTTATAAAAAATTTACGTTCTTCCTTAAGTAAGAAAAAATTTCTTTTTCTCCATTTTTTTCAGGTAACAATTAATTGTCCCTTTGAAAAATTTCCTCGTGCGTATTGACATACGCGAAAGGCTTCTGTACTGTTGAGATGTTCATTGACAGAGATTTTACTGTAAATATTCTTTTTTTTATAGATAAAACACCTAGTTTACAAATTCGATATAATAAACCACAAAAGGAAATTGAAGAAAAATTAACCAAATGCATTAGAGTAAGATTTCTTGCTCACTTTTAACATATTTTTTTATGGATTTGACTTTAGAGACGATTACAAAAAGAAGCGCAACTCTTGAATCTTTCATCAAATCCTGCACAAAAACAAAATGACATGTCAATTGTAAGTTGAAGAGTAAATCAAATAACGAGGAAATCGCTCTATCTGATATCTATCATTTGGGCTTATGTTGGGCCTAGGAAAACATCTTAGTAAGACTAGCAATAATCCAAACGAGTTCGTCTTGATGAGTCTTTGAGACGAGTTATACTCGTATTACTGAGTTTTCGAACCAGTTTTATGAATAAACCCAATAACTGAAAAAAAAAGAATTTCGAGATAAAACTTTTCCCTTGAATAGGTCGAAGAATTCATAGATTATCCTGAAAGCTTTAGCTGGACAGAATCATCTTTTGTCGAGCTATAGAACTTTTAGGAAAATTCTATTTTTTTCTAATATTTCTGTAGCAAACGATTAATTTTTGGATATTCAACATCTTGGTAAAGGAACTTTGTTTTCAGTTGAAACTTTCAGAGTATTGTACGGATCATTTAGCCTATCTATGAAGCGAATTTGTCGTCGAAATGTTCTTTTTGACTTTTCAGTATATGCCTAAAACTCGTTTAAAAACTCAGTAAAACAATAAGAACTCATCGTTAAAAATTCATGAAAACTATCCTGTTTTCGGACTTTTGCTAGTCTCACCAAGGCGTTCTTGTGTGCTCAAATAACAAAATCTCAGTTCAAATGATTCCCTTGTAAGCATAATTAATTTTTAAAATTATTTTCTATAGAATGATAAAAAGAGTAGAGAACATTCAAGTAGTATGGATCAATTTGCTAATGATGATTCAACTAGTAATCAATCAGACTCATCATCATCATCAAGCAATGTCATGTCTCGACAACAACAAATATTACATGGAAATACTTCTGGAGTGGCTCGATCGACCGGTATTCAATCCGTACAATATGAAGCTTTAATGTCACGTGATGAACAAGAGCAAGCAAATAAAAATTCTACGAATGCAACAAAACGTTCATTAATAACAAAAAATATCGGAACTAGTGAAAAACGAAAGCGAAATGTTAGTAGTAGTGGTATGACTACTATCAAACGAGAACCACAGTCAGAATTAAATGATGAAGTTAGTCATTTTTTTTTCAACAAAAACAAAGAAAATCATTTTTTGAAATATTTATTCAGGAAGATACAAGAAATCTTAGTGCTCGACGACGCCGTCGTATTGATGAAAAAACATCTCGTCAATGTTACGGACCAGGTTGTCTCTTTGAAGCACGTCCTGGATCAAAATATTGTTCGGACAAATGTGGTTTAGAATTAGCTCGAAAGTATGAAGAATTTGATTGTAATATCCTCATATACATATATAGTAGCGAACAAAAGTCTCAGTCGATCTCGGCTACTGTATGTGCTGGAAGTCTGAAAATTTGTGTATAGGCACTTCATCAAGAACGTAGGTCATCGGTGTTGTGGCACCGCTATTACTCAATTACAAAAGGAATTTATGATGGATGACATTTATAGTTCTTGTCAGTCGACTCTTCAAATATATCTCAGTTATCGCTATTTTTAATTTCACTGAAGTTCATCAATCCTTTCAAAGACTATGTGCATTTTACCTAGAGCATTGGTATAGAGAGAAACTATATACTGCCCTTTGGAAATCAACAACTCAGTGACAATTCAATAAAACAAGTTCAAATTCTTTGAGACGTTTTCTCTACAGTTAGACTTTGTTGCATACAAGTTTCAACAGTAAATCTTGCATTAAAGAGCAATGGAAAATAGATGATAATCTTGTTAATTCTAAGGATACACAATCATCAATATTCGCGTAAATGAACTTATTTTTTAGATAAAGAAAGACTGTAGAATGGACTTCAGCTACACGTAAAAATATCAAGAATTAGTTACATTTTTAGTAAGTAACATCGCAAAATTTTCCAACCATTCCTTTTCAGGTTATAATTCTCAGAGAAAACAATAGATGTTGTTCATCATAACTCTCTTTGTAATTAAGCAATAACAGCAACACAATGCCAATGACTTACATTCTTGCTGAAGTGCATGTACACAAATTTTCAGCCTTCAGCATATACAGAAGCCGAGACTTTTATCCACTACTGTATGTATGTAATATGTTATTCTATTAGTCGTCTTCTTCAATTTCTTCCAATGCGCCTAATGCAATGGCAAACAATTCCATCTGTTGCTGACACTTTAAATAAAAAAGCTATTGATGAAATTCGAACTGAAATTGAAGAAATAAAACAACATTTATCGGTACTTGATGAACGACAACGAAAATTAACTGAAATTATTGAACGTGGAAAACAATTAAAAGCAATTAAAGATAACAATGTAAATATATTGATTATTGATTTGTTCGTTAAAATATTGTTTTTGTTGTTCTTTTTCAAGAAAATCGATACTTCAAATGATGAATCTGATGGAATGTATTTTTGTATCTTATGTAATCAAGAAATTAGTCAAAAAACTTATACACGTCATATTGATAAATGTTTTATTCGAGTAAAAAATTTTTGTTTGTTGTTATTTTTTGTTTGTTTTACAATTCATTTATTTTATTCAGTTTGAAAGTCAAGTATCATATGGATCAAATGTTAAATCTAATATTGAAGGTTTATTTTGTGATAATTATGATCGTACAAATAATCTTTATTGTAAACGACTTAAAGTTATTTGTCCAGAACATTCACGAGATCCAAAAGTAAAAAAAATTATATTCTCTTTAATTTCTTTTCATATTTCAATTCTATGACTAGATTGGTCCAGATGAAGCATGTGGTTGTCCATTAGAAAAAGATTTATTTGAAGTGTCAGATGAATTATGTACAGTTCCAAAACGATTATGTTCAAAACATTTTAAATGGGATCGAAAACATCGTGCTCAAATTGATCTTGAACGATTACATGAAGTATTATTGTAATATTTTCGTAATTCTATATTGAATAATATTTTTAGTTAATGCGTTATGAAGAACTTGTTGAAAAAGAAAATCGATTACGAACAGCTATAAATGAACGAGGTTCAGTAGCAGGACTTCTTTTACATAAAACAACGGCTCATTAGGAGCATTATATAGATAATAGTTGCTTTTTTTCTTTTGTCTTTATATGTATGTATTCTAAATGTATAGTTCCTTTAGTTTTCTTGCGTTTGTTTGATTGATTATTTGAAAAAAAAACGATAAAACATGTCATATCGAATTATAGATACATATGCAACAATTAGTAGGTTATGCACTTGCATTTGGAGCAGGTATTGGTGCTGCGAAACTCTTACAATGGTCTCCAATAGCAAATCAGCATCAACATGGTGAACAAACACCTGGATCAAAGATGACTATCAAAGGTATCATACGAAAAAGAAATATTTCGAACGATAAATGAATTTATATTTTCATATTATCATCGTAGGACATATACTTGATATGGGTGCTCGCATGGCCGTATGTATATTTAAATTAGTGCATAATTAGAGAATAAATTTTGTGAAGCATGATCTAAAAGAAGTGTTAGAGTATAGGGGTAAGACTTTGGAACTCGTGCCACCCTCCCTCCCCCTTCACAGGCCGTGACAAACATTGATATACGGTTACAGATTGTATATCAATAACGTCTATAAATATATATGAACTACTTTCTTATTGTTTCTGTGGAGGATTAAGTGAAAGGATGGTGAAGAAATGTATCCCATACCAGATAGAATAAAATAATCTTTCTGTGATCAGAAATAGCAGCTATATCGTTTTTCATATTTCAACACTGCAGGGATTGTGCTAATAGCTTTCTTTTTCTAGGGTCATTTCGCTCCAATAAATGCAATTCATCAACATGTGTGTGGTTTCCATTTTTATTCTGGTGAAGATTTTTTCGGCTCATTTTTTTAATTTGCATTTTCGATTATAGGTGAACTTAAACGTCAATTGGTTGCTCATCATTATTGTTCACATATAAATCAAGATGTTCGTCAATGTGTTATTTATGATAGTGATAGTGCAAATGCACGTCTTATTGGTGTTGAATATATTATTTCCGAAAAAATTTTTAATGAATTATCCTCAGAAGAAAAGAAACTCTGGCATTCACATGCCTATGAAGTTAAAAGTGGTGCATTAGTTGCACCAGGTGTACCAGATTTAGCCGAAAAAGAAGTCATGAAAGAATTAATAAATACATATGGAAAAACTTTTCATAGTAAGTTCTTAATGATTAGAAGAAAAGCAAAAAGATTTATGAATTTTTTTTATCTATAGCATGGCAAATTGATCGTGGTGATCCAATTCCTCTCGGTGTTCCACAATTAATGATGGCATTTTTACAAGATGGACAAATACATGAAGATTTAATACATCAACGAGATGAATACTATAAGATTTCAACGAAGGAAAAGAAACGTCAACGAGCGGATATTGAAGTTCCATATCATACAAATGAAGCTGATACGTGGTCAAAATCAGGCAAAGCCGTGCAATTAACAACCAGTGAATCGAAAATGAAAATGACCAAATAGTCATTTTTTAAATTTTCTGGTTGCTTTTATTTATTTTTTAATCTCGCATTTTTAGTCAAAAAAAATATTTAATGAGTAGCAAAATAAGTTCTGTTGCTATTTTAATTTTTTCGATAATTTATAATAAATATTCTCGCACTCTATACCGACTTCTCATACATTAAAACAGAGGAAAATTCTTTAGTCTGATATGATCCACATTGAAATATCGTTCTAATGATCAATTCTTCTAAGTGATAAACTAGAATATGAAATTTATTCAATAATTACGCACGAAGTATGATATAGACTTCTAGTAAAATAAGTAAGACGATTTGACCAACTATGAATAGAATAAATCATATCCATATGTTGCATTTCGTTTAGCCGAGTTCTTACGATTTTTTCATTGGTGAAACATAATATGAAATATTGTAATCAAGAATATAGTCCAGCACAAGTAGACGAATGTAACAGAATAATTTAATATGTGAATTAGAGTAGTTCTCGTTCAATGCTGCATATCTAATATGTAGCCATGATTCTTTACTTGGTCTTACCTTACGACGGCTCAAACGCTTTTGGCATTAATCCTAGTTTATATATTTTCGAAGAACATAATGGTTCGTAGATCATTCAATTTCGTACTCAACTATCGATCTCTTTTCAGCTCAAAGCCCAGTATTAGTAATATTATCTAACACTATGAAGTAGAACTACTACATTGTAATCACTGACAGCTAACTAGGTAACTAGCAACATTAGTGGCTCAAAATCCATTAGACATTGTTCATAACATAGACAATGATTTACTCTCAACTACTCGTTTTAATGTTTAATAGAACTTTACAATCGACAGCTTTATGTTGTTTATTCCAATTTATTTAAAGATTTTTGAAACATAATAGAATAAGATTGTTAAACATGGAGAAAGCAAATAAAATACAATGTATAAATGTTCGATTTTCCTAAAAATCAATTATCAATTGATCTTATCATGCATGAATAGATTGGTTTTGCTTGTACTTTCTTTCTTTTATGTTTTCTCAGCTATGTATAACAAAAATGAAAACGAAATTAATTCTCCGTCGAAATATTTTGTTAAGAATGCGAAGACGTCAAATGTCAACGAAATGTTGCTATTCAAAATGAATGAACACGTGATATGCTTTCTATTTAATGTGTAACCTTAACATTCATATTCAACTTTCACTTCTTAGCAAAAAAGATATAAGATGTAAACAATTAATGTTGAACTAAATGGTCGCACTTAGGTTTTTATAAAACATCTCAACAAAGTTATAAAGTAGATAATGATTTCACTGCAAAAACAAAGTCACTTTTTCACATTCTTTTTATTTTTGAGTTCGTAGAGTAAATACAGACGATTGGAATTCAATAAAAAGAACTAAAAAAGTGTTCATTACGTCTTGTTAGTTCATATTTGTTACTATATATTATTCATTAAATAAGTCATGAAGCTTCTAGCAGAGATTTCTATACAAAAATAAATTATTTCATCATTCGACTTTGACTGACTTGCTTAATTTCTGAACAGTTACACATTTATTGTCTTAAATATCAGCAAGCGAAACAAGTACAAAACACTTAGAAAGAAAATGTTGGCGTATTCTTCTAATTCATTACGCAGATCCTATTTTTTCACAACTTTTTATACGAAAACGTATGAGATAGAAGGATAGGTGTATTTCTTATCTAATTTCAATACATCTATCTCATCTTCTTTGTTCTATTTCGTCGTTCTCACAGCTAATGCTTCGAAAAAAACAATTACATATGAGACGAACATGTCAACGCAATGATTGAAGAATCACTACTGATTCCTGAATAATATAGATGAAATTACATTTGTCGTTGTATCATTCAAGAAAAAAATCTTTTCATGAAAAATATAGAGTAACACAAAAATTTATTATTATGATGATTAAATAGCAAAACAAAGAAACAAAAAAAAATTTTAAGAATGTTCAATTTTGGTTGAATGAAAAATATTGTCAAGCCAATTTTGTTGTTGAGAAATTTGTTCATGAAATTCATCTCGTTGATAATGAAGATTATCTGAGCTAATATTAAAGAGTGATAAATTAGGTCGAAGCGAATATCGAGCATAGATATCATCATCATCTTCATCATCATTCTCTCCAAAATTATTCTTGTTGTACATATTCACATGTATAGCTTGTTGAAAATAATTTCCTGGTCTACTATTATTATTGTAAAGAATCTGTGCTATGAGTTGTGGTGATTGACGACGAATAACAGGAACACTTTTTGGAGCGAATAATGTATTCTATAAAAGATGAACTAGAGCGATAATGAAAAAATAAATAATAGTTTACCGTTGGAATCGATTGTGGCATTGGCCCAACTTTATTCGTCTTCTTTAATGATTGTTGTCGTTTCTTGGATGAAAATGAAAGTGTACGAGTAATACGAGAAAAAAGTTTCGTGAATGAAACTGAAGATGACCATTTTTGATTTTTGTTAGAAGACATGTTTCAGTCGAACAGTGAATTTGAGAATGTCATGAAATCGCAAACAGCAAAACATAATATAAAGTTTGTTATAACAAGCTTAAACTGATTGTTTAAGATAATTACGAACTATGTTCTTTTTTGTTTCAATATTGGGATAAATTGGCTTAAGTAACTCATTGTTTTTTTTTTGATCGTCTTATTTTGACTGAATACAAGTCAGTAAATTAATCAAAGACAACATCAAATAAGAAATTAATGAATGACAAGAACAAAAAAGATTACAATATATACATGAATTCAAAACGTAATCATCCAATACACAATAGAATGTTTATCATCATGAAAATCTGTTTATCGTATGAAGGATTAGTATAAGTGGTTAACTATGTTAAAAATGTAGTCAATAAAAGACTTTCGAGTATATTAATCAAATAATGAATATAGAAAGAATGTCTTCATACTATTCTCAAGAAACATCACAATAATTAACAACATCATTATTTGATTTTGGTCATGTAAAATCATATAATTTCTCTTCCGTCTGATTAAGTAGTGTAAATAACTATTTAGTCTGACCATTGCTTATATATAAAATCTTATGGTCGTTCAAAATAAAATGATTGAAAAAAAACATACAATAGAAAAGCGTTTTGAAATTTTTTTTGTCCTCATCTTCCTAAATCGTAAAATATGAGTTTTTTTCATCATTCGCAATTGACTATAATTTATTTCTAGCTGTTAACGAATCTCATAGTTTGTTCAAGTACTATTGAAAATGGCCTTTCATGGTTGCATAAGATAATCTTGTGAAGAAAACTTCACAGATTTTAGTCTTGAACTGTCGTCAGGTCTTTTGGAGTCTTATGAAGTCTATTAAAGTCTTTGAGTCAAGGCTTTTATGAAACACAATCTCATTGAAGTTTTGAAATATAGGGTAGAAATAGAGTTCACTCTCCCTTTCGCAAACGTGATAGATATGTGAAGAACGGCTCATCACAGATCGTTTATCAATAATGTCTCGTTCTAAGATATGAACTACTTCCTTATTACGTTTCTGAAGGATGAAGTAAAAGGATAATGAAGAAATATATTCTAAAATGGATAGTATAAAACAATCTCCCTGCGATTAGCAACAGCGGTTAGATTTGTGTTTCACATTTTAATCCCATGAGGATTGTGCTACCAGATTTTGATATATATTGATGTCTCTTTAAAATTTTAAAGTCCCTGTACTTGAAATCTGCTGCTTTCCCTAGGAGAATCAACAATGAACAACAGAATAACTTGTCTCCACATTTGGTTCCTGTTTAGATGTATTTTTTAAATAATAAAAATATTATATGAATAGTGGTCGTTTATTTAAGTATTAATAAATTGAAACAAAAAAAATATATTGGCTTTTGCTTGATGAAAAGAAAGAATGTCAAAATATTATGTTGAAGTAATGTCGAGTTCTTTAGAAACCGTATTAATATATTCAATCAGTTTACAATTATTTGAAGATGCTGTCTTAGTTGAAGATGGTTATACATATGAACGAACAGCTATTACAGAATGGATTCATCTGAACAAAGCAAGTCCTCTTACACGACAACCATTTCATATTGAGGCTTTACGTCCAAAATTTAATACAAAAAAAGTAATAAAGAATTTTGAAAATAGTATTCAAAGTAAAAATCATAAATTTAAATTGGTTATCGATATTCGACGTGATAAAAGAGCACTTTTTCAAACATTTGGCAAAAGAATCTATAGAGCTGAATGGATTACTCAACAACAACAACTATCAGTTATCATATTACAAATTGATGAAGCACGTGCTCAAAAAGAAGCTTTGTTCTATGTCAAACATAGTCGATATTCATATATGGTACTAACATATGGACTTGTTGAAGATGTTATACAGAATACTACATCAATAATGTTATTACAGGAATATACACCTGAAGAAAGTCTTTTTGAAGTTTTGTCTGACCAACAAGAATTACCTCATGATAAAACCCTTCAAAAAATATTTATTCAAATTAGTGATACTATGATTTTTCTTGGTGAGATGATGAGAAAAGAAGTTAATTACTATAAATGATTTTCTTATAGTTTATAATCAAATTGTACATGGAGATGTAGCATGTCGAAATGTACTCATGTTTCAATTTGTTCCAAATGAAACAAAACGTAATTGAGTGAAACTTACTGGTTTTAGTCTAAGTAAATACAGTTCAATTTATTCATCAGTTATTGGTGCCACTTCAACGACTACAATTCATGTAAGTTTCATGAAATTGAAATTAGTTATGATTTTTGTTTATTAACATTAGATCGTTCCAACACGTGCAATCGCACAAGAAAGTCTGAAAAACAATAGCCCTGCAACTAATACTGCAAAATCTGACATATATTCAATGGGTATGCTTATGATTGAAGTATATAAAAGAGATGTTATGCATTGACCTGATATTTCCAATGATAATGATATTCGTACACAAGTTATAGCGGATAATCGATCTTTACGTCCCACAAACAATAAAGTTGTCCACGAAACACTGGTAGTAGTTCTAATAATGTAGTCATTTCGACTACTACTGCTGACCCATGGCAAATCCTAGAGAACTTCTATGACCATCAAGGTAGACTGAAAATGTAACAAATAGACATGCTGATTTTTTTTTGTCTCTAAATTGGTGCAGTTAAAGCCAGCTGTAATTAGTGTGGACGTATGTGCGCTTTAACAGAACTCAACCAACACGAAGTTAGTTGAAAGATGAAAAATAGATGATCTTTTTTCATATCTAATTTTATATAAAGTAGAATAATTGTACTCGTAATCCAAGAAATTATAATGCCAAAACTACTGTAGAATCTTCAATACCTGTTCAATCTTCTTCTCGTGCACTTTTACAAACAAATGTAAACTCAACTATATCAACACCAACCATTTGCCTCATTTTTATCGTTATCATCATTTGATGGAACAGTTGATCATCAGCAAAACTTTTTTGCTTTATTGATGCCAATCATTACACAAAATGGTGAACGAAACAAAGTGGTCCGTTCGATATTTCCTCCAACAATCACAACTCAAATCGAAGAACGACTAAAGTTCGAGGTTACACGTAAGAACATATTTTTTTAAATATAAAATTATCGAGGATCTACAAATTATCTGATATCTACTAAATATTTACAAATGATATATCTTTTATTTCTTTAATCCTTATAGAAACTTCGACTGTATCAACTAATCCAATGTCTAGTGCTGCTGATGGTCGACTATCTGAAGTACTTCATGTGTCTAGTTTTCATGTTATTGAAACATCTATCACTTTAGGCATTTTATGTATTCAACTGCCAGCTAACAGTTCATCATCAAGTAGTACACGGCATCAACACATATCAACTTCTACATATACACGTTCGACAAGTAATCATCGTAGTAATGGCAAGACACATGTCAATAGAAATGCTAACTGTTTACATAGCCGAAAAATACGTAGTATGAAGTCAGTTGAAATTTCTGGTACCGGTATTGATGCTGATATATTTGTAGTTGAATGTAGTGGGTTTAATTGAATATATGGGAGTATGGATGACAAAGAACTTTATGCTACTATCATTGGTTTTTGTAAGGTGTTTTTAATGGGTACAACTAATACTATTAAATTAACAGTTGACAGTACAAGTAAATTTCATGGTTTTGATTTACGAAGTAAAATAGCTAACATAAATATCCATAGCAATTGTGTTATGCTGAAATCAATTTTGATCAAACAATGACTGCCTGTATTTTGGACAATGATGACAAAGAAACAATTAAATACAAGGGTAATACGTGTATGATTCGATGTCCCAATTCAACAGGAAGAACTATCTAAAGAATTGATTGATAATGTCTTTTATAATATAGAAATAAACCTGAAATTGTAATTTAACTATAAACTTATAATAAAATAATCATAACTATGTGTATTGTGTAGATTATCATTTTAAACATGAATGAATACATAGCAAGACTATAAATTATATTTTTATGTTCAATGAATATGATAGTAAAATGACTTAATATCATTTAACATAAAGAACGCTACATAGATAAGGGCAAGATGAATCCACTCATGTACCTAGACCTCATCCGACAATTAATGAGATCTTGAGATTTCAAAATACTTTTATTTTTTCAAACTACTAATTAATATAAAAGCATAGGAATGGCAACCTTAGCAATTTATTGTATTTGAGAATAGGCCATAGAAGTAGAAAGTGGCATTGGCTTACTAAAACAATCCGTTTTTAATTAAGATTCATTTGTAGATGATGATGAACCGAATGACGAAGTAATTGAATATATGACGACAAAAATGAATTATTAAAAAGATGAACATGTATTATCTTGGTAGAACGAGCATTGGTGTATGCATTCGCAATTTTGACATTTGACATCAATGCTGCATTTTATTTCAGTAACAGTAGTAACAAGCAAACATATACTTAGCGAAACCGATAGAATTTTAAAAGCAGAAAGACATCAAGTGAATCCTGAATCGCTTGTCTTTTTGTCGAATTTGAGATGATCTCTTTTTTTTTGTTGCTGTTTGATGAAAGAAACTAAATAGTATATTTTTCTATATGGAATGAAATTTTGAAAATGTTGCTATAATTATGAAAGTATCTGTCAGATGTTGATTAGCTCTAGTCCAGGTTCAATTGCGAAGTCTTACGCGTGCATAACACTAGTCTAATGACAAAGAAAAATGTGATATTATTGCTAGTATCATATCTCAAATACAGTTCAGTATGATATCAAGCAAAAAACAAGAAATCATCTATGATAAACTCAAATCGTACACTGAAAATGGAACCATTATCTACAGAAATTGATTTTATTGACATTAATGTCTCATATTTCGAATATCAATCATTAAGTTTCTTATTTTTTTTGTAATTTACTTTGAATTTATCCAACAGAAACGAAAAAAAAAATAACAGAAAATCCATATCTGCATGACGAGATTTGAGGATAATTAACATAAAAAAATTGACCATAGATTGATTCAAAGGTTAATGAATAAATCTATTACTTCTTTCAATTGATTAACTCGATATTGTTCATTTTCAATTCTTTTTTTATATAAATTAATAATACTTTTTTTTATTTCTTGAGTTTGTTCTATCATTAATTTAAAAAAAGAATTTTTTTCTTTCATTTGTTCAACATCTTTATTCATATTATCACAAATATTTCTTAATTGAATTAATAATTTCATACTATCATCATTATGCTCTTTATTAAATTTGTTTTTTTTATCTTCATAAGAATATTTAATTAAATTTATTTGTATTTGTTGTCCAAATTGAAATGCTTCAATGATATGTTTTAATCGGCGAATTTGTTCCGAAAAAGAATAATCTATATTTTTATTATTTTTATCAAATAAACTTTTGTTCGTACGAAATAAATCAATACGACTTGGTGAAACATATTTTCGAAGTATTAATTTATTTTCATTATAAAAATGTGGTTCATCAAGAATAGCACAATCAACACTATTTGCTTCTATAAAACCAATTAAGAATGCTCGAGAAGGAATTATAATTCGACATGATGTAATTTTACCATATTGACTAAAATATTTTTGAATACTTATTTCATTAAATTGTTTATCATCGTTTGAATTTTCTAATGATACAACTAATTCATTTGATGACATAAAACGTTCAAATGCAGGACGTGTAACTGGTAATGTACGACGAAGAAATAATGGATGATCATTAAATTTTATTCGTTGATTATTTTTTATAATAGAATTTATATCAACAGATGAACCATATGTTATGATTGCAGCTGCACTATTGCGTAAAGTTGTTTTTGGAAAAAATGTATAACTTTCAATAATACCAAATTGTGAAAAATATGAACTGAAATATAATTTTAAATAAATCTTCTTTTAGAGATTTATTTAAACTTACATTAAATCATCTTCATTAGTTATATTAGGAATATTGTTTATATATATGTTGTACTGATTACGATTCATTTTTTCTTTTATTCTTAAAAAATAAGTTTCATCAAATTAGGTTTATTAATTTTTTAATTCTGTTTCTTTATTTAATGTACAAAAAAAGAAAAAGAAAAAAAAAAGAAAAAAGTAGCAAAACAAGGATAGATTTCCATATGATGTTCAAGCTCACCGGCAACAAGAACAGCAAATAGACATCAAGCAGTAACAAAAACTGTTCAAGACAAAATAAGATTATTTTTAAATATGCACAGACATAACATGATATATAAATTGATTTGAAAGAAGAAAAAAAACAACTCAACAATGGACGGATGAAATTAATTAGTAATTTATGAGGGTTGATTGACAATTTGAGCGACTATTTTTAAATAATAATGAAAATTATTTGAAGAAAAAGTTTGCTATCACTTACTATCAATTGTATTATTATGATCGTTTGTTTCAGATTGATTGACTACTAAAATGATATTATTTTACAGACAATATCAATTGAAGAGTACTCACATTCTTGAGAAATTGTAGTTATGCTTGCTGTTGTAGATGAAGACGATGGAATATCAACAACTAAATAGAAACAAATAATGAGCTAGATAATTTTCTTTATGGACTCAATAAAAAACAAAAGCTAACAACGCAATGCTTGCAGAATAATAATGTGAAACACAATGTAGTTGCTCTTGCTAATCACAGAAAGATTGTTTTACACTATCTATTTTGGGACACATTTCTTCACTGTTTTCACTTAATCCTTTAAAAATACAATAAGAAAGTAGTTTCTATATTATAACGAAACTTTATTGATAAGCCCGTCTGTCGTGAAATATGATGAAAGACAGACGTTGCTAATGATGTCTGTCATAAACAGTTGCTAAGAATGCCATTCTAGTCTATGATGATAGGTCAAAATTTTTACCCTTATGCAACAACAGTTCTTTTAGATCATGTTTCACAAAATCAAGCTATTCTGACTGAACTTTAGTGAACAATGTAATATAATTTTAACAGTTTGGTGAGGAGTTTTTTGTAAAGATGAGTAAAAATATGGCTTTGCGTATAAGAAGTCTGAAATCAAGTAAATACAATAGACGATAATAGGCGATTGTGGTAAACTTTAATTAACACTATAAAATTCAGTATTTGTACAGTTGTCGAAAATCTTGCAAAATCCTTCGCGTAACTCTATGAATAACACTCTGATTTTATATCATAAAAGAAATACAATATAATTGAACATCTAGTCTACTGTAAGATTGAAGTTTAAGTATTAATCGCAATTTTTTTAGAGTGGTCAAGGTCCTAAGATTCTACAAAATTTTAAGCATTTCTATTTGGTTTGAGAGAAATTTGAATGCTTTTGACTATCGAAAGAACGTATGAATTCTTATAAGGCTCTAAATCCACAATTCCTTCGTTCCTATTTGCACTTGTACAGCGATATCGTGCAGTGTCGTCCATAAGTAGCTTTACGATAAAAAGTTTGATTATGTCCACTCTATGGGATCAACTTGTTTTCATGGGATAGAGGGGATTTCGATGTTTTTTTTTCAAAATCTTTATAAAAAAACCCTCTATATTGGTGACAAGAGAAACAAAAACAAACACGCATCGCAGAATGAAACACACGATCGTATATTTTTGTCGAAGGATATAGGTATGCACACATAGATCTGTTAGGATCATCTTAGTTCATTATTGAAATCAATGATGATACTTAAAAGAACTATTTATAAATGTTATTCCCATGAAACAAAGTACTCTGAAATCTTCATTTATCACGAAAAAAATTTAGCCTCATAAAGTGGAAATATTTAAACTTTTTATCGTAAAGTTACTTATGGACTACACTGTATAATAATCTTTTGATGCTAAAATCATAAGCGAAAAAGGGAAGATTGTAAAACTTATCATCTACATAAAATTTTACCCTGAATATACATACAAGGTCTGTAACTGCATCATCAAAAAAAATTTGATGCTTATTCAATCACTTTGATATCATATTGTGTCTAACCTATTGATTAAAATGTCATTATTTCGTTGTCTATTTTTAATACAAAGTAATCTAACCGGATATTTCGATGTATTCTATCAAAACTCTAATTTTTATTAAACTTACTATTGGGTTTTGTAACAATACGCTGTTGTAATTGATTGCTATCAACAATTGCTGGTTTTAAATGCAGGGATTCTAAATATTAAAATAAATTCATGTTTGAATAATTCTTTAAAAATATTTACCTTTGGAGCATTTGCATAATTCTATTTGATTTCGTAATGTATTAAGGTCTGATTGTAATGTAGTAATAATTGCTGATACCTATTAAAAATATATTTATTGATCGTCTTTTTTTTTTTTCAAACGAAAGTTCATATACTTTATTCGATGAATTATGCATAAGATCAGTTAATTCTTGAAAATGTACAACTAATTCTTGTATTTTTATACTTTGATTAAGATTTCCCAATTCATTCTTAAATGAAAATAAAAACAAAACAAATTAAGTCTTATTTTTTAAATTTTCTCTATCGAAATATAAAAGATTTTACTCGAAGAGATCTTAGTTCATTATGCCATTTAGCCAAATTTGTGTATAAACTTTCATTCAGTGAAAGAAGAGTTTTTGATAATTGACTTGTATCCTAGATATAACAAAAAAAAAATAAACAAGATTGAACAAGACGAAATTTGATTTAATCGTTTAACTTTTTGAGTATTTGTCGTTCGTTCTTGTTCAAGTAACTGTTCAATTAAATTTCTATCAAATGGTTTTATTTTTTCATTGATAATATTTGTTGCTTCACCATCAGCATCACGACTTAATTTCTATTACAAAAAAGAACAAAAAATAATAACAAAAAATTGATAAATAAATTCTTACATCTAATTCATTAGCAACATCAGAAAATTGTGTTGATTTCTGTTCAATATTATACAATTTTGATGAAATATCAACATCATCATCATCATTATGCATTAACATCTAAATAAATAAATTTTATAGAATAAAAAACAAAACAATAAATAAACTCGAAAAAGATACTTCATTTGATGGTGAATTTTGTTTTATTTGATTAAAATCTCTTTGTAATTTTTGTAACCGATCATATATATACGATACATTCCAACGCTCAATTAGATTTAGACGAATTTTTATTTGTTCGATTGTTGATAGGATGCGATTAATTTCAACATTTGAGAATCGTTTTTCAACTAAAATAAAATTATTGTTAGCTCATTCGAAATGAAATTCTTTTTTTTGTGAAACTAAATAATGAAATAAGTAATTATAGTCTTTTGGTTTCAAATTCAAGTTGACAAATGATTTGTTTTACTTCTTGGAGGCAGAGTTTCATTTGGAATTGATGCAAAAATGGTGACTTTTTCCCATAAAAGCCTGATCTGGACCGTATGAAACCAAGAGAAACAATAAATTCCGTGAAGAATCATTGAACTTCATAAGTTTCTCGAATTACACAGAGTCTTACAGAATTCTGCAGGTGGTTCTATTGAGAACTTTAAAATTCTATATCATTAGAGCTTTAGTAGCAACAAGAGCTAGATCGAACGATAATGGTTCTAGAGTTCCACAGAATCTTACGAAATTCTGTTTTACTTCATGTTGTTCTAAAAGATTTTGTACATAGAGATTTCATAGACTCTCGAATACTTCCAGATTCCAAAACTTCTTGTTTCATCTTGATATACAAGGTGTGGACGTGATGTTAATGGAGGGGGTTCTTATCTTCTCACGCACCACACTCTTACTGGTTTGTCGTTTGTTGTAGCAAAAAAAAGATGATCTGCCACGAAACTTAATTCAAGTTGAATCCAACCTTATTTATCGAGAACTTTTCATTTGTCTTTCATCCATTCTTTTTCTAGTAAATAAATTTGATTCAATTAAAACTGCTCATTTTTTTATGTATGTACATTAAAAAACCTTGCTGCAGTTTTTGTCAACATTTTTATTTTCAATAAAAGTTAAGATTACTGAAAAAAAATATTTATGAAAAAAACAGTGTGGCATAAGTTTTTCAAATATATCTATTTGACATAGATGACAATGAGTTTATAGAAAAGTAATATTTTTAATGTCTGCCAAGTACTCTAATCATCTAGTTAAGAAGTATTGTTTCCGATATTTGTATTTAATGAAAGTTAATCAATGTTATTGTCTTCTTCTATGTTAATATCAATGTCTGAGCTTCTTTTTTGTCGATTTCTTTCGTAATTATTTTCACTATTAATATGATTAGATAAGTTTCTCTGACAAAGAATCGTTGTTAATAAGATGCCTCAGCATCTATGTGTAGCTATACGTAGTTTTCTGATTACCACATATAATAGTAGTCAAGGCCAACACTATTGCTGATGAACACTTCTTTTATAACTATGTAAATAAGAATAATGCATCACATTGTTATTGACAAACACTAACTGCTACATATAAGTAAATATTCGAACAAGAAAAATATAAGAAATGCGTCACACTGATATGAAAATATCAAGATAACACAAATGTCACAGATGCATAAAATGAGTCATCAATTCTATTCGTTAATAGTCGTCGTTTTTTTCAAATTACGGTTATAATTATAGCAGATTGTGGCCTCTATATGATCATAGCTTTAATATATAATAAATATCTTTTATTGCATACGAAAAATAGATAAGAGCAAAAACAAAGTATCACAACATCAACCTGAATATAAGACCAAAGGATTAAAGCTACAATGAAATAACTTTCATTTCTAGTCAATACTATTGATTTTTTAAAGACTGAAACGGCACATACGTATTTCGTTTGTACCAAATCATAGAGGATTGCTAGTTAGATCGATGACAAATAATACGCTTTCAATAGGTCTGAATTGTTTCGGAACGAAAAATGTCAATATGTGTCTTGTCTCGAATGAGTTAAAAAATAATAATTCAAACATTTATTCTTACTTTCAGTAACACGTAAAGATAAATTTTGAACTTCAGTTTTCAATTCAATATTTGCATAAGCTAATCCAACACTACAAAAAAAAAAAAGTTTTATGGAAATTTTACATGAGAAAATAATTTACCACACAATCATAAAAATACAAACAAGGCAAAAAGAAAGTATATGCCGAGTATAACTACACCAACGTCGATAACGTGTTGGATGTCTATAAAAAAAAATTATTATTATTACTATCTTTTATTGTTTCTATTGAATTTATTTACACTTTTGTAGAAGTACTTTTTTTATTAGATAAAAATAATTCATCTTCTGAACTAAAAAGCATTTCATTTGATAATCGATTACTATGACGATTAGATCTTGACGTTGATGAACGAAATTTTAATAAAGCATCAAGTTGTTTACGTTTTTTCATTTTTTTATTTAAATGACGTGGTGGATTATTATAAGGTGTACCGGCTTCTAAGTCATTGATAAAATCATCCATGAGACGAGAATTATTTTGATCTGATTGATTTGATGAATTATCATGTAATTTAATCGTCGTAGTAAACATTTATGTTTTAAATGTAACTAAACGATCGTTTCTGATCGATTGAATCAAATGAAGAAAAACGAAAAACATCTGAAAAAGAAAAAAACAGTGAGGCATGCCATTTATATAGATACCTAACAGGTGCGAACGTCAATAACGCAATTATTCAATTAAGTTTTTATCTATTAAACAATAAAACCTGTTAGAGTTTTAGATGATTCACTTTAAATTTTCGTTCAAAAAAAAAAACAGATATTTGTTTGAAAAAAAATATATGGGTAATAATTTCAGTTCAGTTTTTTTCTCTTTCTCTACTTCCATTATTAAATATCTATGGCCATGAGCCAATAATAAAAACCTAGAGGACACTAGATACCAATATACAAGAAATGCTTGTTATTGTTAAATTGTGTCTTACACTGAAAATTTAGCAAACGAACTATACATTTACTCGCTGATAAAATGAAATATTCTTAATAAAAAAAAATAGATTTTATAATTATCCACTAGGCATCGCTTTCTAACTTAAAACATTACTACAATAATAATAATTAACTCTTAAAAGTCATGAGTAGTTTTTTGCTGCTGAGAAAAAATAGTTTGCTAAAATAGAACGTATGGACACTCTATATCAGAGCTTGCTGAGTTCGAAATTTTTCGAACCCGGTCGAACCGTACTTTGATACTCTCAATGAGATTGTCTAATCAGCATTGAATAGTCGCCCCGGAGATATGGAATACTTGTTTCTAGCTGTTTATATTTAGTGACTAGTGCACTCTACACATTTCTCAGACGGCTAGAGCCTATTGAGTCCAACATCTTCGGACTCGAATCTGATGGGATTCAGGACCAGCATGACGAGTCCTACTCAGTATAATCATATTATAGTTGTAAAAAGAGGAACTTTTTTTTCTAACAGTGATACAGAATGTCTCTTGGCAGGAACATTTTCTTAATGATGTTGTAATGAACTAGTAAGCCATTTAAAAAATTGCCGACAGTTACGTAAGAAGGATTAGTTTTTATTTTATGATTGATAAAATCATCATATTCTGAGAATACACTGATTTTTTGACATTTAAAGTTTTATTAAGTCTACAATAGCAAATACTGCAGTGTTGTCCTTTGAAACGGACATTCGGTTTTTAAGGATTAAGATTGTATTTCATTTATTCAAGAAGAAAAAGAACTATGGCATTTGTATTTTATCGATTATTTAGTTTTATGACACGTGTTATCGTTCATTTTTATCAGATTCAATAACATTTCTTTGACAATCACCAGCAATATGAGTTTTGCTCATACCAATTATTGATTGTTGTGTTAATAGAAAATTTTCTTCTATACAATTATTATCTAAATATGGTTTAGGAATTATATATTCATTATTCGAACGAATTCGTAAATATTGTTGTCGCATCATTTTATTGCGCACATAACAATGAGGATTCTTAGACGTTGAAGATGATGTTGACGAACTTGAATTAAGATTACCCATTAATAAATATCGATCAAGAGAAAAATATTGTTAAATAGAAAAACAAAAATTTAAAAATAAAATAGTGCTATCTCGTAAAATATCATACTTAAATTTAATTGGAGAAAAAGTACGAAAAATGTTTTGATTTTCCCATGATTAGTGTGTTACACACTTGTAATTATTTTATTTTGCGAACATATTAAAGTATTTCAAAACAAATCTGACTTCATAGAATGATATATGTATGATCTGTATCAGTTTTACTCAAATATTTTTAATCTGATATATGATATTTATTGATGTTATTGCAATGCTACTGAATTTCTTGTCATTTATATCTGTGTCTCAAGACAGTAAGGTTCACACTTATATATGACAACGAGAGAAAAAAACAGTAAGAATAAACTTTAGTAAATTTATTCTTTTTATAGAAACGTCAGCAAATGAAACCGAAATAAATAACCAATCTCTTAAGATCGAATTTTTTTTCTTTGTCGATAGAGAACAGATTAGAAAGGCATAATAAAACAAAAGCTTCCATAGCATTTTCTAGTCTTCTTTTATTAAATTAGAGAGACGTAGAGAAGGAGAAACAATGTGAAGTTGTAGTAAATCCTATTGAAACAACCTTCATCTATGGAACATCAATGAAGAAAAGCGTGAGAGAAGGGGGGGGGGGGAGCCGGGTGGATGAGAGAAAATATGACTGACATGGCAGTCAAACAGTAGGAGGCCTTGTTATTATGCTTAAACTTCATCTATTCCTGCTGCATAGAAGTTTTTCAATTTCATATGCATTATTTTATTTTTATTATCGACAACAACATCAATACAGTGACTTGAGAATTTTCAACTGAAACAAATGGGGACTACTTATGACTATACATATGAATATGAAGTAACAGATACAAATAGACATCATCGTACTACTGGCGGAAATGGTGGAAATTATTCTCAACGAGCAGTTGGACATCAACCACATTATGGAGTATCTCTTCCACATGCAAGTCGTACAGACATGATGGATTCATTAGCCAATTTACAACATGATCGTATATGGCACAAACTTTATGATCCACTTGATATGAACAAAACAACACATGAAACTGAAATTCAGGTTTGTTTATTTACCTTTATATCTATCAAAGATAATCTCGATTTTATCAAGTTTATTATTAAAATGAAAACAAAAAATATTTTTATATACACCGATAAGGTAATAATGATGATCATTGGTTGCTTCATGTCTTTCAAATCTTAAGGTACAGTACAGCATGAGAAACTTCTCAACATCATAGAAAACAAAACATTTTTTGATGATGGATACAAGTAAAACATAGAAAAAAATACGATAGAATTTGAACATAATATGGTTTTGTTAGAAAACCGGCTACAAGGACTGATTAAAATCTTTGACTTGTATGATTTCTTTTTCTTTTTTTCGGCAACCTTTTTTTTTGTGTATGATTGGTCGTCACAACAATCAGCAATATAAATACAAATTTTATGTAACTAAGTGACAGTAGAATGTTGAAGAAAAAAAAACAATAAGAAGAGAATATGGGCGAAACCACGCTACTACTGACGTTTCTTTTTCTTTCTGTTTCTGTTATTTGTCACCTTTTTTCTTTTGATCGTTCGCTTTGGTCGTTCGTCTGCATAAAACAAACAACAATATGATTACAACTAAAAAAACACAAAGAAGAGAAAAATCGTTTCTTAGTAAATTGTACCATGCCAATTTTTGTGCAATGTTTCTGTTATGAAAGGAGGAAAGAAAAAAGAAGGAAGACCAATTGAGTAGACGAAAGAACTCGTTTTGTTCTCTTTCTCTCTCTCTTCGCCTCTTGTTCGCCTAAATTGAAGACATATTTAAAAAAAACTGCCAAGAAATCGAATAATTACAGACAGGTATGCAAAAATCAAAGTTAAATCCCTGCTAGTTGAATATCACCAATATGCATACAGACACACATACTAAAACTTCACCATGTACATGTTTTTCAGCGAGTATGCACAAAAACAGAATGATCACGTAGGCGATGATTTGAAAATTCATTTTTGTTTTTTTGTTGTGCAATTATAATTATAACTAATTTTTTTGTAAAGAAAATGGCTCGTCGTCAAGACCGTAAAGTGATTAAAATTGAAGCGGCCTATGGATCAGATCGTCAAACATTTATTGTTAAACGTAATTATGATTTACGTGTACGTGATGTTCAAGAAGATGCAGCAACCACATTTCGAATACCTATTGATCAATTAATTCTTTATTGGAAGGTAAAATATAGGATTTATAACTGGAAATAATTTCATTTTAAATGTTTAGGGTCGAAATATTTGTGACACACCTAATGAACTTTTGGAAACCTTAGGAATTGAAAATAATCATACAATGCGTGTTTGTCGAGGAGATGATCAAGCACAACAACATAGACAACGAGAATTACGTTCTTATGCTACAACGGATCAACAATATTCATCATCAAATGATATTTATAGACAACAACAACAGCAACAACCTTATTACCCTCAATATCAACAACAAGTTTATTCAAATTATCCAACAATGTATGATCAACAACAACAACAATATATGACTAGTCCACGGTAAATTTTTTTTGAATTTTTTAATCTATTCTTTCTCATATAATAAATCTAAAAACAAGATTTAAAAAACTAAAAAATATTTTAATTTCAAATTTGTTAAAAAAAACGAAAAGAAAAACTGATGAAAGAAAAATGTCTATATTTATTGAATACAGCTTGTATTGTAATTGCACCTGTGCTCACGGCAATTCCAACAATTGTAATTGTTGTTGTCATCATGGATCGTAAGTTTCTTTTTCTTTGTTTTCCGACATTCAACAAACTGAATAATCATCAATTGTCTTTTTTCCCTACCTATTATCCGTTGCTTTAGGCATTTTCACTATCATCCCATTTAAAAACATTAAATACATTTTTATTCCATTCATGTTTTTTTTTCTTTTTAAAATAAACATCAACCTTTAGTTGACCTGCTCTATGCTATCGACTAACTAAATCGTTTTTTAGCGCTAACTATTATCAACAATTGACTAGTCCAAATATATCGGGTCCTGTTGCTGCTACTTATGTAACCAATTTACAAATCGGTTTTGGTGATCGTGTTGAAGGTCTTGTTATTGGTCGACCACATCCAGTAACAGTTTATGATTTACAAGTTGAACTACAACAACGTTTTAATATTCCACTACTTGAACAAAATGTTTCATATAATGGTATGTCATTAAAGCAATTTTCACCTGATATTTCGCTTGATGCAATTGGAATCGTTAATAATTCATTTATTTCCCTTTGGTATAAAAATTTGATTCCCCAAAATCAACAACCATCAAACGATTATTATTCTCCAAGACAACAAGTGCCAGTACCATATTCTAACGATGGATCTCAAACACCACGTAGTAGTGATATGTCATCAAGGTAAGAGAAAAAGTGAGAAATGTGTGCGTGTGATTGTTGAACAATAATCGAAAATATTAGTTGTTGGCTCTCATGATTTAAAAGGCGAATGGACTTCAGCAGCAGCAGTGGAAACGATACGATGCAAAATGCTGGCAATCAGGAAGTACTCAAAATTGAAGTATTTCATGGTATGATTATTAAAAAGAAAGATTCTCCTTTTTCTTGTCTATTTCAAAAAAAGATTGGTAATCTATTTTCTATTCTAAGGTTCCGATCGACATGTACTTATTTTACGTAGCGCAAATAATGTACGTATAATGGATTTAATGGAAGAGTTACAACGTATAACAACTGTTCCAATTCATAATCAAAAACTTTATTTTCGTGGACAAGAATTACAAATAATGAGAGAACGTTCATTACGTGATGTAGGCATTGATAATAATGCTCAAGTGAGATTAATTGGTGATCCAATAAAACCACGATACGAAGCAATGATTACAGGACATCGAGCTAATTAAAAGAGAAAAAGAAAAACAGAAACATTTTCGAATCCATTTTGAACATATCATATTTCTTTATTTTTATTTTTATTTTTTATCAGTTATTCACTTTTGTTCTCCTATCCGTCCATTCATGTCCAGAAAAAAAATAGTTTTGTAAATAAAAAGATGCAGAAAAAAAATTCAATTATTCATATAGTTTATTATCCGAAAAAAGAAGTAGATTTTAGGTTGAGAATAGTAAATTAGACACTTGCTTTTATAATCTAAGTCAATAATTTGAAACATATTATATTTAGTAAGATTTACTTCGTTTTAGAACGAATTCATCAAGTCCTGCCTCGATTCAAAACATTATTCTTCCCGCTGGAAAACATAATTCATACACAGAGTGAAGAGCAATATTCAAATTTATAATTGGATTAGAGCAGTACGAGGAATAATTTTAATCTAAAACTATAATAAGTGAAAAACTAACTGTCCTATGTTTACGAATTATGGCGAATAGTGATTAATTATATGATTTATTATTCTCTTACTTTTTGCGCTTACTGATGGGGATCAGGTCTTAGTAGTACATATATAGAATAATGGAAAGATAATAACCAACTGGAGAAAAAAAGAATTTACTTATAAAAGAACGTTTTCAACTGATCAATCGCTTTTGAATTCGGATTCTGTACATAAGGTAAAATCTAGTCAGAAATGAAAAATCGCAAAATAATAAGTCCTCCGTAAGCTTTCTGTCCAGAGTTATAGGTATTTTAATAGAATTTTAGTCTCTAGTAGAGTTCAAATTCAAAAGCGATTGATCAGTTGAAATCAATAGAGTCTGAATAGAACATTGAAATACATAAACATGCTTTGTAGATCTGAAACTTAAATGTATCAGGAAAATTTTCCAAAATATACAAATCTTTAATAGGATATTCCTCCTGCAGCCAAGGTTTTCTAAATTGATTACTATTTGCTTGTGCTAATAAGAGTTCACTATCAATTGAATCCGATAGCACAGCTAAATATCTATTCCAACACCCAAAACATTTATTTTCTAAAGAAATTTCATCACATTAACTCTCAAGAAAGGTATCTGACCATTGAAGGCAAAGCATTACTCTTTTCAGAGTGTTAGGATAGAAATGGAATAGGTCATCATATTTTTTTCAGTCCTGTAGATGTAATGTCTGCTATTCGCAAGAACTTACTATTGTAATTCTCTGTGAAATTTTAATCATTGTTTTGTTGATCATTGTACTCAAATCAATATTAATTATATAATTTAAACAGTATTATTCAGGACTTTTATTAAAGCACATTGACAAGACATTATATAAAATTTAGACAAGTCTATGTGACTTCTCTGTTAGATTTTTTTCATCATCTTTAAGCATGTTAAAAAAATTCTCAACCGAAAAAAAATGTTTAAATGTTGTTTCTTATGAATGAAACACAAATCAAACAGTTGAAGTTCAACGAAATTAAATACGTTCAATATTAAAAGATAGCTGTCCATCCAATTGATGAAAAGGTTTTTTGAAATGAAATCGGATAAAATCTTTTTCAAATAGTATGTCTCCTAGATTTTCAATAAGCGTATATTTCGAAGTATAAGTATATTCAGACGTTGTGGTACAATTTTTCATCGGAGTCGTGTTTATTTTTTGTGTTTTAATTAATATGAATCACTTAATGTAGTCATTCAATGGAAAAGTTACAGTAAAATAAACTTATTCGGTTAGATGAGACAACAAATAAGATTCAAATCAACTTTTCCGACAGTCTAAAAATCTAATTTTTAAATATCATAGATGCATAATGGAAACTACTTATTTTCATTTCAGAATAGAAGATGAACGATTCCAACATATTTTGAAAATCGACATTATAGTATCACTTTCTCGTACGAATTCTACTAAAACTACTATTTTAGTTACTGAAGTTTCATCCATATGATTGATTAAAATCAAATGATAAATATACATTGGATTGGAAATGTCATTTTTCTCACGTCATCATTAACTGTATGAAGGATTCAGTGCTGAAAAGGCAAGAGGAAAAGCGGATCCTAGTGGATCCTGGGATCCATCAGGATCTACCAGGATCCACTAGGATCCACCAGAATCCATTAGAACTCATTATCATTTATCAAGATAGATTAATGTTCTAAATAGCCACAAAAGCAAGGAAATCAACCAGATTCATAAAATAAGGATGCATAATTCAAAATATTTTCTGAATGAATCAATGTGAGCACCATGTGTTATTTATCCAACTATGACTAGTCTACTTTACAAAGGAAAAAGGGACCTTGAGACATCCCACGATCTATTGGACTCCATCCGAAGCCATTAGAATACATGGAAACATAGTAAACAGACGAAGAATTGGCCCTAGAATTTTTGAAAACAAAGAAAAAAGAAATCTCGGAGATTGAGAGCCTGGTAAGCCCCGATGAACTTTTGAGTATCTGAATGAGTTCTGCGGTTTCTACGATAGAATAAGATTCATCAAGATTCAGGTGTTCCTGATTGGTTTCAGATTATTATGATGCTTGTTAATTTCTGCTGAATTCTTCTGGATTTCAAAAGATTGTACTAGATAGTGTTGAATTTTTGCTAGAGAAAAGCTCAAGTCTTTTTGAGCTAGATTTCTGACATAGGCAGCAACGGCGCTGCACAGGTTCACCATTTTTTCCGGGGAAAATGCGAAAAACGGANTACTCCCTCGCTTCTTTCAGTAAGCATACAATTTAGCGTAATTATAAGAAGATTCTATTGTTTTTCTTCCAGCAAGATTTCATTCGAATATAAGATAAAAATTGCTGGCGTCATCATATATCAATTAACAAATTATTTAAGGCCACCCCCCCACCTCAAAAATCGATCTCAGTCCAGGTACGTTCAAATGGGCTGAAATTTGGAGCACATGTTGGGGCTGAAGTGAGGAGGCTGTGGTAAAATTTTCAGCTCGAGTCCATGACGTTTGACATAGATATGAACCAAACAAGGGCCAGAAATAGTTCATTTTATTTCCAAGATTTCTCGGTCCGGTATCTGTCAATATATTAAAATTTTTGTTTGTTTGAAAGAGCATGTCAGGATGCAGGGCACCACAGAGCCCTTTTTTTTAAATTCTTACTTTTTTAGCGAAAAAAGGGGATCGCAAGTTCAATGACTCAAAAAATGCGCCAAAAATGGGTGTCTAGTTACATACATGTCTGTGTACATAACAAAGACAAAGCTTAATTAAAAAATGACTCTGTGGTGCACTGCATCTCGACGCGCTCTTTCAAACAGAAAAAAGTTTATATATATTGAAAGGCATTGGACCGAGAAATCTTGAAAGCAAAATCAAAAAATCATAAACCGAGAAAAAACGAAAAACATTTTTTAATTTTTCAAAAAACAGCTGGTTTTTCGAATAGGGGGTGATGAAAACCTTCGAAAATTTTGAACAAAAAGGAAGTATCGAGGAAAAATTTTTATCAGTTATGAAAGCGCAGATCACGGGCTAGTTTCCCATGCATTTATCTCAATTTCGAAATTTCTGACGAAAATTGACATTTTTTTAGGGGGAAGGGTGGCCTTAAATAATTTGTTAATTGATATATGACGCCAGCAATTTTTATCTTATATTCGAATGAAATCTTGCTGGAAGAAAAACAATAGAATCTTCTTATAATTACGCTAAATTGTATGCTTACTGAAAGAAGCGAGGGAGTAAAAGAGAGTGACTTAAGCAGAACCACGGCTGAAAGAGAAGAAAAACTAAACTTATCTATTCCTTGGGGCGTGAGTGTAGGCGTAAGTGCCGGTCTCTGTATGCATGAGCGTGCGCTTGTGGCTACGACAGTAGGTAATGAATAGACGTAGATAAATGTAGGTGGATGTCGGTGGGTTTGATTGTGAGTGTGGGTATGAATGGATGTGAGTTTAGGTGGAGTGTTGCTGTACTTGACCCTACGCGTGAAGTAAGTTGAAGTTTTCGGCAAAGGAAGTTAACAAAACTCGAAATTTTCATCAGATCGATAACCACAATAGCGGTGCAAATGAAAAGTGTTTAGAAGTATTGAAATTCCAGAGATTTCGGAAATTATATTTTTTTGGGAAATACCGAACCATTTAGAACACAAATGCTTGGAATTTCCAAGACTTCCGAAATTTCTTCTTTCAGAAATCAGAACACTGTTCTTGTGGGTAGGTGCGTGTGAGTTTTTCAATGGTTATTCACATCCACAGCCACAATGGTGGGATCGTTTTCGGATATCTTTGTGCTCTTTTCCTCTATATTTATTTTTTTGTTCTAACTTTCAATTTTTTCCTTCAAAATCCAAGTGATCATGATGTTGACGGAGAGTGATACCATACTGTTGTTCACTCTTCTGTCAAGCTCAAAACGAAGTTCTATTGTACGTATTAATATAAACACGACTTGTTTGAAGTATTGAAACTGATTATTATTTATATTAGCTTCGGAATGCTGGTGCTGCTCGTTCATGTATTTGATCGAACAATGAATAATAGAAGCATTTTCAGTTTGCTTGCTCTCTACTCTGGTAATGGATCACTACTGATCAGATGTTTCTTGCTGTTATTCAGGAAGCCGCTTCAATGTTCTACACAATTATTTTTTTCGTTGTATTGAGTTGTTGACAAAGAAATGTCGGTACATTTTTTTTGTTTTGTGCATTGATTATTATGTGAAATGGTTGAAAAAAATATTTGCATTCGATGAGCGCAATTACAAATTCGAAATGGCAAGATCTGCTGTGAATATTAGTAGCGTTTCTTGACTCCTGTTGTAACTATCATTCGTTATCGATCTAGACAGCAATCATTGGTAATGTTTCCTCATCAGAATTTTGTGGAATCGACGTTCTTAGACTCACTAGCGAGAGTAGTGTGCATCCTCTAGTACTTCAGCTTATAGATACTGGTAGTTTGGACCGCAGTTTCTTGAGATTCAACAGGACTATACGCAAGTCAATCCTTTTCGACATTAAAATCTTGAGTTTCTTC